CGCATGGGTGCAAAGGTCACGAATAACTACCCCATTTTTAGCGACAGGGACTGACAGGCGCAGCAGCACTAGTGGACTTCGATTCGATGAAGTGCCAATAATCCGCCTGACAGAGCCCGTCTGTGGACCATCTGCGCCGTGTACGAGCACCTGTTTGTGTTTCTGGTCCCAGCTGCTGGTTAGGGTTATGATTGGTTGAATGAAGGCAGATTAAGCACGAAACGGTACTGTATCATACTACCCGCATCCTCTGTCATGCCTCCCCTCTGCCACTACAACTCGATCGAATTCGGCCTGGTAGCTGAATGCCTATCAGTGGCCTTTGCTACCTATATAGAGTTTGTTTGCTTCGGGAGGCTGATAGATCTGTGTGTATCTATTCCTGATTCACTTGACATTTCTAATGAATACTTTACTGCTGTTCATTCCAGCCGGTCGTTTCCTAACTTGTTATTGTCCTCCATAATGTGATCCTGACGTGCATACGCCAGACAATTAAAATTAGCATGAACACGTGGTTGCGTGTACAAGAGAGGGAGCACCCTTATATATCCACCTACCACCAGTCAGATCACATCCCCAGAATTGTATGCACTGTCATATCGATTAACGTCCTCCGATTCTAGCATTGCATCCACGGAGTCCTGGCAGGGCTGCGGCGAGGAAACGGTCGAGAAGATGGTCAATTTTCCGACTAATTCTAATCCAACTGGCATGGCAAGGTGACTAGAGGATGCGACTAACGTATGTCACGAAATCTTCTCGAAACGTCATTTAATCCGACGGGCCGGATAAAGCGGCAGTTGTAAGGAAATCTTCAGTGCTGTCGAGGAAATCCAGATCGGCGGTTGCGTGAAGGTAGTCGAAGAAAGGAAATAAGCGGTACTGTGCGCGGACACCCTCCAGCAACACCAAGAAGCTACCAAAAGTGAACAGGTAGGTGAAACATTTCTAGGCAAAATGGCATTACCCACCTGCCTATACCGTGCACCGCCATGCGGCTGCTGGTTGGGCTCGAGAAAGAGCCCGTAAGGCACATAGGAACGATTGAGTTCCATAGTAACGATCGGTGAGTGCCCCCTACCATTGAAATAATTCTTTCAATCTCCGCAAGCTAATGAAGAAGAATGACTAGGCTACGGATTCTGGGAAAAGTGATAGTATGCGCGTCAGTTATAGTTCTACGCTGCTTATCCATTTACTACTCTTTCTGGATTGCTCGGCTCCAACTTCCTCTTTACAATTATTTTCATTCTATCTTACTTCGTTAATTCCTCGTCTGGGCAGTTGTTATTATTGTCCCAAAACTTTCGTTCTTCTGGTAGCATGAATGATTTTCAAACTGCGTTACCTTCTAGGAGCACAGTGTTAGACAAGGCTGCCCTTGTGCATGGCAATGGCGCGATCATGCCTAAACTAGCTGTCTAGAATTGCATCTCTCCGTAGCTTCTTGTTGAGGAGGATGCCAAGATTATTCTAAATCCCCAGCTATCACTCCTACCCCATAGTGACGATTTTCGCGGTTCTTGATGTCATATCCCGCATTTCGACTTCAAGGGGTCTGTCGACGCTCACGGCGGAGGCCTCAGTATTCGCCCTCTAGTAGTATTTTGGTCGTACCTCCCTTACCCACTCCTCAACTGAGCTCAAAGCGGACTGTGACCGATCGTGTCTGGGTTCCTCTCGTCTGACCTCTTTGACGCGAATAGTCTAATCCGGCATATCAATCCCGCCCTGACGATGTCCGTTCTGAATCCCATATACAATACCACATGCAGGCCAGTCCTGTCAGACCCGCATACGTACCCCTCAAGGCTGACATTTATTTCTGCCCTAACGATGTCCGATTATAGTCCGCTATATACCGCCACATGCAGGCCAGCCCTGCCCGCACTTTTCTGTTTTTGTTATTAGCGAGGGTTTTTCTCCTGTAAAACTAATTCAATCCTTTTTACATTTTTAAGTGGAGTTTTTTTTTCACCGCTCCCTTATCATTTTTACTAACGGACTGCGAATTCAGAAAGTATTAATTGCATTTTGTACAGACTTTGCCAACCTCGTCTAAAATTCTTATGTAAATTTATTTTTAATTGTTTTGATGGGATTCAGACGGGTCTTTAATAAAAAATTATCATTGCCTGCCAAAGGGCTAGTCAGTCTCGAAAATTCTGGAATGCAACCTCGTTGTCGATTGCGATAGTTCGTAGGAAGATGCTACCGACGTCTACCGTTCCAGGGTTGTTTCGGTTAACGGTCATCGCGGATTCGATGGAGTTGTTAGTTGGCCACGACTTATGTAAAACTGTCTTCTATATGTTGGTGGCTATTCTGGAGTTTGTACATTGATAATCATTTAGGGAAAATCAGACTTTTCTATACGCCAAAAACAGACGTCATATAGAGCTCATAACATTTTGCAATGAATGGGAATCGTGTTGTCCACTTTATAAACAGCACCAAGAGGCACGTTGATGGAATACTGCACGGCTGAACATTTCACACTTAAAAGTTCATAGTCAGAAATTTTCTTAAAAACTGAGAGGTAAACTTTCTTCACGATAATGACTCTCTCTCTCTCTCTTCTGTTTCAGCCTTCTAATTGTCGTTAAAATCAAACAGCTTCTGGTTTCTGCGACCCCACTGAACGCCACCTCATGCAACGAAATTACCAAACTCTTCACCTATTTCACTTATATGATTTTTTGCCGCATCAGTAAACTTTTTCCACAAATAAAGCAACCTTTCTGCCGCCCTGAGCACGTCTAGCGGACCTGAGATGGCACAACGCAATTTCAAAAAGGAGGACAGTTACGAAAAAATATCGTAATGCTCAAGCACTAAAAGTGAAAAAGGGGGCACATGGTAGCCCGGCTGCCCCGAACGACGAGGTCCACTACTGCCTCACGAAGTGGGCGCGGCCGTAACTTGCGTGAAAATTTGTTCGTAGTGAAGCCGACTTGAACTTTGTCTACCCACCACCTTTCGACGGCGTGATAAAACTAAGACGGCCGGAGGTGGGAGTGGGCAGTGATCGACACGGCTGAGTAACAAAACTACGCGCGTCACATACGGCCTGGCCTACAATCCCACGCATGAAATGGACGTGATAACTCATGAAACGTCACAAGCTCCACAAGGAAATTCCTGCAACACGAAATCCGACCGCGCCGCGCCCCCCAGAATCTTACAGCAGCAAAGAAACTACCGTTCTTGAACGGAAGGTATAAGTCACGATTCGTCAACACAAAAATACTTAATGCGCACTCAAAACTAGAATCTTAGACGACTGAACTTCGTCTAGCGGATCTCACAAATACTACGTAAATGGGACTGCTGTAAGCGTCACCCTATAGAGTCACTGTAGGCTGGCCTTAAGTCCTGAGTATGACCGAGTTATTCTTTCCAAGTCACGAATTTTGGAGGGTCCGACTTATTTTTGTGAGGAATGCTCTGAGTCGCCGTGACAATGGATTCCCTCACAGCACCGGCCTTGCCCTCCTTTCCGTACGAGCGACATGTCTGAGTCTGTCGGTAAACTGATGATGGAGTAGGGCAGTGGCTGGCACAGTAAGTGTCCTCTAGTGCTTGTCGTCCACTCCACATGGCCAGGCGTCACCAGAAAGGCCTGTTCCCGCAAATGTAAGATATGCACATAAATACGGCATTTCGTCCATCACGACGGTGCTGGTACATTGTATGGCATGGCCGTTACATGAGCAGTCTAACATGTGTTGACTTACGACCGAACAAGCCCATGCGCGGCCTAAGTGTCTGTCCGCATATGCAGAAAAAGGCAAGGTTATGGAGGTCCGTGCCGCTGTATTTTACTAAATGTTTTCATGTATGCGCTTATGACCGAATAGGCCCATACTGCGCAGGAACTTCCTGGAATAGTGTGGACAGGGGAGGCGTGCGTGACGGGTGTTCCCTAGGGCACCAGGAACCGACAGAGGTTATGTCTTCAATGGTCGTCCGCGGCATTGGATTTTTACTCGCCTCTCGTTCTGCTATAAGAAAGGTCGCGTCCACAGCACACACTCGTGACCAAACTGTAGCAACTATCAGTTAGGATTTGGGCAGTCTGTGGTCATCGAGCCAAGTATGGCTAACCGTGACGAATGCGGAATGTAGTAATCTCAATAGGTGTGGTATTGCATAAACAATCATTCTACAAATAATGCAACCCTCAAATGGCCAGTCGTGACCTGCTGCTACTCCTGACAATGTTAGTCTGGATCCGAAATGTCAATACAGGCACCTTGTTCCAGCGATCAACCCGACATAATTGGCAAAGTCGAAACAGGTAGTAGTCGGGTCAGGTAGTCGGTGTGCGCCGAGGTGTCAGACTAACTGAGTTTTAACATTCTCTCTCTTCCTTGAGTGTCCTGGTTATTTTACCATAACGGACACACCGCTGCAGGTCAACCCCTGAGTTGCTTGCATGCTTTATGATCAGGTTGTTGGACATCTTCTATATTAACTTTATTCACCTACTGGGTATTCTTATCGTCGTTCTTACTTAGGGTTAGTGAGGTGTGGGCAGCTAGTTCGGGAGAACAGCGTTACAAACATCAGGTGTAAATAAAAAACGTAGCAGGAGAGCCAGCGAGAAGAGCGAAATGGGTGCACATATGGATTGGGTACAAAGAGCGGATCGCTTTAAAAACAAGCAGCCAATAATTTAAAAAAGATTTTCTTTTACAAGCGAGACTGCGTGGTAGACAGACGAGAAGACAGCATTTAGGTACAGCAAATGCGACCCCAGGAAGGTCATGTTAACAGCCGGCTAGTAAATCAATTAAGTCTGGTTACTATTTGATCACGAGTAGGCAATGTTTTCAGGATATGTATTTTGGGATAAGAGGGAAAGATAAAGTCCGGTAGAATGGAATGGTGGGCACAGCCGATATAGGAAAGCAGAACAGATGCGTACTCGATGGCGAAGCGTTGGCAGGCCGAGAAAGTCAGGGCAACAGGTAAAGCCAAAGAAACGAACTGAATTAAACCATGCGAAGCTGGTAATCACCGTTCTGGGTTATGTAGCGAACCCAGGGCAGAGCATGGTAACCACTTTTTTCGATGATTTTGAGATAATGTACCTTAAAATAACAGCGAAAATGCGGGCGACAATAAGGCTGCTATAATCAGCATAAAAACAACTGAAAACCAAAATAAAAGACATATATTCGTACTGGGATGAGACCAACAGCCTACAACGTTGAAAAGGGGCACTTTTGCATCCATGAGAATAGCACTGAAGAACTCAGGTGCGCCTTAAAGCTTAAGGGACCAACATAATTTTTCCATCTTATTAATTCGTAGATAATTTACATGCAGTTTCCATGTGTATTTCTTTTCTTCCTGAAAGACTGCATATAACATCGGATTTTTAAAAGGAGGTTTGCTCCACCGTTTGTGTGTGGAAAAATTACAAGTACCAGTTAGCAGGTCGGTTGACGTAAGGAAATCCATGCAGTATTTGACATGGGGGTATATTAAGTTCCACTTTACGAACTACATTTAGCCATAAATGCTACCCGGGAAAATAGAGCGCCTTTATCGCAATGGGTGACTGAAAGGACAAGGGGCCCATGTAGCGGCAGGACACTAATATATGCGCTCCCCGGCACTTTGACACAGGACAGGAACGGCAGTAAAAGTGGTTTTACGGATGGGGCCTTAACAGTCTTATGAAAAGCTCATCGCCCATCAAGTTTCCGGGGCAGCTTCCTAATTCCTCCCCGAAAATTGGCATGCAGCACTTCTTTTATGAGATCTCACGGTTTCGTGTTGGTCACTTATAGTATGTAGGGTTGAAAGTACGGTTATGTAATACACTGAAGCATGACAGAAACATGATTTTCCAGCTTGAAAAATAAGTTCAGCCGCATCGTCTGTTCCTTCAAAATACCCTACCAGTCAAGTTCCTTTTATTGACATAACCGTATTAGAAGCGCTCTTGTCGCGACAGGCACTACGATTTGTGAACAGAAGAAGCTTGAGGCCAGCAGAGAGAGAGGATTGTATTCTGCACAGAATAGTTAGATAATACGCAGGAGAAAGTTGGCAGTCGGATGCGGGCACGCTCCCTGCGCCGCGAGAGCGGGCGTCCCGAGTGACTGGGACGCAGAGCACCCTAAGCGAGGGCATGTCTGACTCGGCCTTAAAGTTGATTAGCCGGTTTGGATCGCCGCCACTGGCCAAGACCAGATTGTCATTGCTGGGCGCGAGGCGCAGCGTTGCAGCGGGCGCCCGGAGTAGGGCCACTACAGTCCTGCGCTAAAGTGCTGTGGGAGAGAAGTGTGTATGTTCACGTCTGACCGCCCTTCAAAAGCCTCGGCGCCGACACTAAGCCTAGTAGGTTTTAGAAGGCACAAGGATTGGTCTCCGCTGTCTCTGTGTTACAGAATTTTAAAGGACGGAGTTTAACGTTTGCGGGGCGCAAAAACCGACAATAATGAATTGTCAAAACGGCAGTGAACAAATCGACTAAAGTATATACCAGCAATAAGAGTGATGGTGAGCGTTCTGCAGCGAATATGTACGCGGTTATTTGTACTGACCAGATCACATGTGCACATCCTAGGGGTGCCTGCCTCGTTAGGTCCCATTTTATTAATGCGGCGCAGGATAAACGGAAGTCAGTGGGTAGGAAGTAACGCGAGTAATCGAGTGGAAACGACCTCCATGCTGTTAAGTTTAGTTCTATCATGGAGGACGGAAACGGAATGGAGTCAAAACCTAAGCTGAAAGGAAAAAGCGACCACATGACACATAAGCCCAAGCAGAGTGCGAAATGCAGGCGTGAGATCGACTATCCAGTCAGTGTACGCTGCAACAGTGGTGCCTTCCCCCACGCGTGCAGCCCAATCGGTGGCCGACCGAACATTCCCGAATTATCCGTGGGGGTTATCGCTCAAAAACAGTCAATCGATGACCACCGCGCCAGGGACTAGGATGTCCCCAGACCGTTAGATGTCGAAAAAATACCGAAAATTCAAGCACGTTCGGCATCATGTTACTCCCGGTTACCCACATAATTTGTCAGAAACCTGGTCAAACGTATAACGCACGCAGAACTTGCAGCCGCCCTGGACTGACCCCTGTCCAGACGTTTGACGTCTAAGCAGACGCCAATTAAGAGCACTGTCGCTCCCTGTTGGGGTTTTGGAGAATAATGAGAATTTTGACTTATCTACCACGGGTGTAAGCTCAAAGCCCAGTCATATGTTCACCGGTTTTGTGCTGATGCATGACGCAGTCGCGCTGGGTTCGGCACATAACTGGGTCCCCCTGGAGTTTCTGTCTAAGAACTTACTCCAAGTTTGCGGATTAATTTGTAAATGAATCAAGAAGCTTGGGATGACAATTTCGTCTACATCAGGACCACTGGCCTAGGTTTTACGCCTAAGCCTCTATCGAGCCAACATCTACGCAAATCACACCGGGTCCCCAAAAAGATGGACTTACTGCCTCTGAGAAAGATGACAGCGGGGAAAAAGTATACTGCGAAGATCTGAATAGCATTTGTAATTTTTTTTCGGAGGCGTCACACAATCCTATATTTCCCCAGCATCCAAAAGAAGACAAGTACGACGATGACCAAAACTATGGCCTAATATCGGTACGCAAACAACCTGAGTCAGAGGAGTTGGCTTACCTGAAGACCTGACACGGTGAAGTAGGGAATCTCAAAGCGAACCGAGATCGGTGGTTTTACTTCAAGACTGGGATCACCCTCAATAGAGGGTAGACCGAAGCTAGCGCGCATCATGTATTCTTTGCCGCCGGGGAAGTTCTTGATGGACCAGACGACAATATTTTCTTCCGGTATGTACCTACAGGCGCCAACTGTGGTCTTAAAGCGCGGCGAATCCACGTCGCTGGGCACGGGAAGGAGAATCTCGACTTGGTTGGCAGTGCTACGGCGCTTGAATTGTGCTTTTGCCTGTAAAAAAATTTCGGTCACAAGAGACATGACATGCTAAACAATACTATGCCAGTCACAAAGCATATTCTACAAACAAGCCATATTCTACAAACTGCCACCACTATCACCATCAGCGTCGTCATGTATCTGAGCTGCCATCTTAATGCACCCTAACTTCGCTAAGCCAAGAGCTCCACATCATTGACGCCCTTCCGGCTCTCTTCAGATACGAGTAGACTAGTGAAAAGCACATAGGCCATTGATGCAGTTAATTACCTATGGAGGAAAAAGCACTTTTTATGGGACACCGTGTTGAATTGAATTAATTACTATAGGGATGCGAGTATCTGGCACCGAACTCATCATTGGCATTTCAACCTCGTCCGATCTAACAACTATTCAATCCTTACCTGGAATAGACGAGGTTGACTTTTAAGTACACGTGTCTCAGCCACCGCAAAAATCCGGGAGAGCCCGGCGTCCATACATATAAGCGATAGAAGGGAGACTGACTAATAGTCAGGCTGGCAAAAGTGCTAATTCGCTTACCGCAGCAGTTTCTGAAAGCTGTGAAGTGAGTGCATAGAATCAACCTCTCCAACAACAAAAAAGAAACTTTCAGGATAAGCAAGATGGCCAATGTCGGTCATCAAATAAAACGCAGAGCATATTTTGAGTACCGATATTCGGAGACGGACAGTAACCCAAACTTTTTGAAGTGTCTAGCCCTTTTCCCTGACGCTCACTTCCGACTTCTCGCCAAGTTGCCTATCGAGATTGGAAGAACGGAACTCTAAAATAAGTTGTTTAGGGGCGTCGGGCGTAGCGTTTGGCCGTGAAAATCAACTAATACTCCCTCCCCCTCGCCCCGGATAGTTTTGGCGTTCACTAACCTATAGTTATTTTACTATCGGTCACACCTAACTTAGGCTAATTTGGTTGCACGATATACCATGCTTGACAGCACAGGTACTAGCTAAATGCTCAGTCTTTGTCTATAAGTCTGAATTAGAATGATTTACTCCAAGTTAGCGATCAATTTCTGAGAAAATTAAAAAGCTGCAATTAGGCTACTTACTTTAACAGGCCTGCGCAGGGCACCACCGACCTCTCAGATGGAAGTAATGACGATGTAATATAGTTGTAAACAACAATTTCGACCATTGCTGCCCGCGGTCTGAAAGCCCGTTTGGTTCTATTAGTCACTCTAACGGTGCCACAAAGAAGGAATATACAAATCCTACGAGAAAGGAACCCGCAGGCAGAAATGCCAGTAGGCCCTCTCTGCCCCGTTTCGCGGTGGGCCATCAGTTAATGCGATTTTCCGATTTACGCCAGGGACTGCAATGGTCGGACTCAACCCGGTGACTCTTCAGTCACCTCAGTTGCCACTTTGGGCCTGGTTAGATATGAAACAGTGGTGAGAGAATATTGATTTTTGCTGATCAGAACCAACAGTTTGTCCCTAACGCGTGCTTCTAGTATCATCACAAACGTCTGCTGACCTGGTATTCAAACGACGGCCATACGACCAGTCAGATCAACTAAAGTCTTGGTGGCTCAAGATTCTGCAGCAAGGGGCCGCGATAGCAGGTCGATGCACGGTGCCGATATTGGTAAAGCCCATGAGTCTGACCATGCCGTTCGCACACGACCGAAAGTTTATCCGTCATCTGCATCCGAAATGCCACGCGCGAGGCATATTGATATCGCAAAAATTCGACAACCCGATACTGTCCGCGCCCTGAGCACGGACATGTGGCCCCGTTTTACGGCCCGAACCGATGGAGAAGGCAATAGCCGACGGTCATCATTGAAGTCACCGATCTATGGGGCCGTTCAGCGGGACCGCAGTGACTGGATCAGCGGAAGGACCGTACAACTTTCTACCGGGATGGCTCGAACCGGGTCCGGCAACGATGATTCCTTTCTCCAACGACGGAAAAAGACGGAAAAACCAGTTCGGGATGACTAGCAAAAATAACAGAATAAAACAGCGGCTCATGGAGCAGGCCTTAAACGTTGGTGATATTCGAAAACTCCACCGAAGTTAGTGGTAAGCCTTTGGCAATTTGACTCTGCTTGCGATGTGAATGGCGGCTTTATTGCTGAAAACTCGGTCAAAGGCGATCGCTGACGCGCGCACTCTGAGTACCTACTCAACTGTGATGGGCAACCCATCACACCATCGCTCTCCTCTGCAGAGGAGTTTTACCCATCTCTAGCTTTATTAATTTCATGTGACCGTCACCCCCCTTTAGTGGGAGAATTTGCCGAGGCTTCACAGTAACAAGGCGCCTGGAGAGGACGATATTCCCGCTGAAATCTACAAGTTTTGAGTTCACACTTTCACGTCCTAGCTCCATGACGCAATTGGACAAGCGTGGGAAGATGAGGTCAATCCTGATAATCTGGACTTGGACATCTTTGAGCCTGTCTTCAAGAAGAGATATAAGGAAAAATGCGAAAAATACCGCGGTACAAGACTTATCGACGTTGCTTTCAAAGTCTTCGCTGTTGTCCTCGAGTGATTCCAAATTGCGCGACTCGGGGACGAGAGCCAACGAAGCCGGATTCGGAGGTGGGCGTGGATGCGCGGATCAGCTATTCACACGAGGCGTATTTTGGAGTCCTGCCATTGCTACCAACCAGCGATGTCCGTCTGCTTTGTTGACTTCGTTGCTGCGAGTAACGGAGCTAGGTAGCCTGCTGGTCAAAGTCATTGCCATGAGCAAGATCTACTATCGTCCATAAAAATCTGTCCCAACCGTACGATATCCGACCTGCCGTTTGACAAAGTTGCATCCTGCCGCCCGGTCTGTTCAACTATGCCGTTGAGGGTTTCAAATATAAGCCTGCACGCAGGCGCCGGCAGACTGATCTCGACTACGCTGACGATTTCGCTTCCCTGCCCCAAGCTTAAGTGATCTACATTCTGTGGCGCCATGAGTGAATGAGGTCACGGAACCCGTCGGTTCATCCATAAACGCTGGCAGAATGTTATTACCGACAAAGACAAGGAGGTAATACCATTCTGCCTATATCATACGCCGCTGTGCGGCTGCTGGTTGGGTTCGAGAGAGAGAGCCCGTAAGGCACAACGGATCGAGTGAGTTTTGCAAGGACGATTGGTAAGTGCCCCACCACCAAAAACGCTGGGGAGGTCAAACTGTTTTTAAGTTGCATCCCTGGCCAGAAGGCACCCATCGGGATTAGTGGCTGTTAACTTGAAGTATTCTAAATACCTCGAGATGAGGCTGCTGCCCAATGAACATAGAAAGAACATTGTCTCCCGAATCGATTCTGCTCGTGGGATTTACTCGATCCCTAGAAAGTGCCTATGGGCCCCGTGCAATATCTCATTCACCACGAAGATCCGCGTGTACTGTGCATCCGTTCGGGGTCAGCTACACCAGGCGTGATCACAGCTGTATCAACCAATTACACTTATGCATTGTCGTTTTACATCTGTGCACCTCTGAGTAATAATAGCTTTCAACAGCGAATAGCCGTTAGATATTGGATTAGGCCATGCACGAGGATGCATCAGCCTGTTCAAACATTTTTAAATTCGATAGGCTATCTAATCTGGCGGCGTCGAACTCACACCGAGAAGACAGCTAACCAGCCCCAGATACGCTTACAATATCGCTTTAATAGCAGAAAAATGACAGTTCCGCGGTCGATTTCAACGATGTCCACCGAGTGCTACACAGCAGGCCAGAGCAGGGACGGCGACAGGCACGTGAATTAGTTTATACGAATAGTAGAATCGCCCAGCATCTCCCACACTCTCTCCCCCTCCCCTGTCTGTACCCGATGTCCAAACAGAGTCAAGAAAACCAGAGGCAGGGGGGGCGCAGGTGGCTGGCACGGCGAAAACTTGTACCTAAGTGTACCCCCACGCCCCCTGGTCCCAAACGCACACCAACCAGTATTTTACACATAATAAGAGAAAAACGAGACGGCTCGGATCCCACGGAATGGGAGTGCCATAGAGGCCACATTAGAGAGCCATTGCAGCCTGACTTTCGGTCCACCAGTCCGCCACCCCGCATAAATATACATCGAGCTGACTGCGGGGTTCAAGCTACCCGACAGTTAGCAACCCTCCAAGTCACGGTTTTTGAAGCGCCGCGACAGCTTCAAGCGCGTCAGATTGTTTCCAGCGAAGAAAATGTGCTGAGACATCGACTCAGCTCACTCTTCCCACCCTCAGGAATCAGTCCATTATCAGAGCCGGTCAGATGACTGATTCCGGGTGTGGACGCAGTGTCCGACGGAGCCAAAGTTTGTCCACGCGCGCCACATGCGCGACCTGGCCCCCCAAACGCACCCATCAGAATTACGCATACAAGGGGAAAGAATGCTCGGATCTCACATGCGGCAGAAGAGCCACGCGGAGGCAGGAGCCAAAAAGCACAGTCCCCACTTACGTGAGAGGTGCCGGTGATATGAGATGTTGGGTGGGTGTATGTGTTGATGGGGGAATGTGTAGTGACGTGGTCACATCTGCAGTGATTTATCGCAGGTCTTTATGAAGGCATGTGGGACCGAATAGGCCCGAGTAGTGGGCGAATGTGTGTGGATAGTAGGGGCCAGTCGAGGCGAGTGCAGTGGGTGTGTGCATGAAACATACGAGGACCCACACAACGTAGGTAAACAAGGAGGCTAAATCTGACATTTTTCAAATAAACACGGCAAATGTCGGGCATATTATTGGCCGTTCATTCCCTGAGCTTACTGTTGGTGCCGTAATCCCCACATAGCCCCCTCACCGAAGGCGAAGAAAAGGCAACCAGCACAAAATCCGATTCGAAACGGTCCGTTAGGATGTCTGAGTGACTCATGAGTCGGTCTCCGTAGTTAGGAAATAGTGAGTAGATCAACAGACAGACTCACCGACACACACCGTCTCGTATAAAAGTGCATAACGCACATGACTGCAGATGTATTAAGTACAGGTCTTTGTCGCATTAAGCGATTTATTAATCACTTTTCCTAAGGCACTTCCTGTTACTATGTTCCGACCTTGGATGTCTTGATCCCTTGCGACCCAGGTTAAGTTTTCAGTCGGTGTGACCATAGGCGCCCTCTGCAAAAGTATATGTTAGCGGAAGCGCAGTAAAACGATTGTCGTGATTCTATGAAACTATATGAAATGAACAGGTTGGTTTTTAACATAATTCTTGAGAAAATAAACGGGCTGCAGCGCGTATGTCACGTGCTTAGAGTAAAGAACAGTCCTAAAATAATAGGACGGCAGTGTTTCTTATTTTGTGTGAAAGGTCTTTAAATAGCGAACTACCTTACTGCGTGAAACTAACAAAAAACCAGCGGAAACGTCTCGCTATTTTGCATAACATAAGGGACGTCTTTCTGATAAAGGTCTAGAAAAAAGCACGGTTACACCGGCTACGTGAGAAAAAAGGAACAAATTATTAGATATCATGGAATATTAGGACCAGAATACTACACAAGTTGGTTAGCAAGCTTAGTAATGTCTTATAGTATACCACCACCGTAGCACCTTAAAACATTCTAACAAAAACTCGCGTACATCGCATGGTCAACTCTTGTTAAGTCTCATAGCTTACCAGCGGGCCTAGAGGCAAACTGATGATTATGTATTTGCATGTGCTGATACCCAGTTGCGAATTTCAACCCATTCAAGGAAGGCCGAAGAGACGAAAAACTGCCATTAAGAAAGGCTAAACCAGACCTAAAAATGTGAGCGTCTACTGCATCACCCTTTAACATGGCAATGTCTGCGCATAAGTCCCACTAATCATGACCGAAATTTTACAAAAAATCCTGAGGAAATGCGAGTTAGGTGAACGATCCTGTGCTTAAAGTAGAAACAACATCCACACTACAAAAAACTCTAGCAGTGCGAGCGTGAAATTCACAGGATTCTAAAGTGAAGCTGTGATGAGCCTGTAGAAATATCGAGTCGGAATTGTTGGTCATGATGACACTTCTGGTCAACTGGTATGCTGGAGAGAGCCATTTTCGAAAAGTTTCTCACTAAGCTGGCTGTACTCGACGCTCGCTTATGCCTTTTCCCAGTCATCACAAGAATTCTCTGAAGATTCTAGCAAGCAGCCTGGCAGACGAGGCACACTGTTTCTGAAAGACTGGAAAAAGTTGGAGACCTATACAAATGAGGGCCCAGAAGAGCTCTCTTTGTATAAAATGGGATACGTTGGAGATTGAGAAAACGCAGCGTCTTAAAATATTGTGTGCAGTTAGGAGTAACTCAGAGATGTGAAAAATTGCGACATGCACTTTTGGCGTTAGTTTTTCATTCTCTTGTTTAAAGACTAACCTTGACCATGTATTCGACGCGACTGTGAGCGTGTCTCTCAATAATCGATTCGACCCAAATTAGAGGTTTTACCTGCGAGGAAAACAAAAAAACTGGTGAATGGGTTCGAAAAACGGATCAGATTGGATTAATAAGATAATATAACTATATGACGAACACTTGTAATGGCAGACGAACTCCAGAATGCCTGCAGTTAGCGTACCTAAAATAGTGGTTGGAGGCATTGGAAAACTGACTCGGACTACTCTGACGTTCGAGTGAAAGTAACAGTCGAGTGCCACAGAGGCGAACGAGGAGCCAAGAAGCATTAGCCACGAGTAGTAATTACCTCATGTTTTGGTTGGTGTGCGCAAAGGGCGCAGAAACCATAAGTGCGTAAAAGAGGGTGTTTGTTGTCGTTCTGCAGATTAGTTTAAAGCGAAAACAACAGTCGTGTTTTGATGTGGTGTCAGTTGAGTACGGCGAACGTGCAGTCGCAAGACTGGACAGTCAGACACAAGAAATTTGAACGAACGCGAAGACGCACACACAAATAAAAATGTCCACTTACGGCAGCTTGGCCATTGAAGACGTGATGTGAACTCTAGAACAACGCAGACAGACGGAACGAGAAACACTATCAACACGCTTTTCTGTGCGTTGGGATTTGGTCAGAGTCGTGTATCTACTACCAGCCAAGTGTAACTTCGTCGGGCGTACACGAAGAGAGCAGATTTTTTAAAAACGAGCGAGAGCCAAACGAAAAGGAAGAATCGGTTTCCAGTGTAAACATGTGGTAACTTCGACTGCAACCTTGACCACTAACAAATTCGTTATCTAGCGGGTATGTCCAAGGAAGTTAATACTATAAAAACGGTTAACCAGGTCGAGGCGTTTAAGCTTACATGTGTATTCAAACGATACGACATAAGCTCGAATTCACCGTCGGGTGGGATGAAGGAGATGGTTCTATCGTTCTCAAAACGAGACAATCGGACACATTGATGGAATTTTATATCTTCCAGCTCGACAGATTTTCCCTTGCCTCCTGTATATAAATGATTGAAAAAAATGAAAGTAAGGTATACTCGCAAGCAAGTTTGTGCTTGACACATATTCATGTACTCATAAATTCGGGAGACCGAATACACCACTTACGGCCTGTCGACTCAAAACGAACTTTGTCATTTACACCAAGACGTAACTCGGGCATTCCGGAAAGGAAAACTTTCATCTTAATACTGCCCACGATTTCACTCCGCAGGACGCTCCCCGAGGAGCTCACCTATGAGACTCAGAGGGTGATGATGCAGATCGCATACCAGCAAATTGACACTTTCGATGACGTCAAGAAAAACTTCGTTCCGCCTGTATTTTATGCTGTCCGAACGCCAAGAAACGGCATTGGTCACGGCGATAGGCGGTCGGGGGGCAATTTCAAGCTTGCTGCTTTGCTGAGTTATGTACTCCTGTAAAATCTTCGAATCTGTTGTTTGAGGGTAGCCGAAATCCATGACTTCGTCCAAAAGTTCATACGTGACGACGAAATTGTCTCGTATGCTTTCCTCTTCCAGATCCTTGAAGTACTCGAGAAAAATCTTAAAGCCGTGATGGAAAAAATTCTGCGTACATTTATGAGGCGATATAGAAAAGAAAAGATCAGTGCGGCATTGGAGTTATTCTTCGCGAGGGCGACCAAATATAAATAATTGTACTTTACGTAAATAAAACTGGCGCCCCCGCATTGAATAACAGGGGATGTATTGCCCTCCTCCTCGCGTTCGATGATAACCGGAAGAAACTTTTCAATTATTCCCATGTCGACGTCACCCCTATAGTCTCTGTATATAAGGACTTTCCCCTTCACATCCAAGATGAAAACTGCGGACGCTGCCATCTTGGCTGAGTGACTACAACTAAGTAGTCAGTGACAGATGAAACCAGCAGCGAGAACCAACGCTGACCAGGCGCAACCTAATGTACCAACTAAATGCTAATGAATGATATAGTATGCGATGTCTCAGACTGACCAGATTCGGATTCTCTACACAGGAAACAATCGCTATAATCTTCTTCGGCGTCTCCTCTTGCTTAATGGTCTCCTTGATTCGAGTCCTGAGCAGGAAATTCCTTGTCATCCATTCTAGCAAGCAGCAGGTCAGGCACACAGTAAGATGGTAGAATCATATTATAGTTTATTAGTCCCACAACGCCTAAACCTTAGGAGTATAACTTTATGTAATCCTTCAAGCCTAGGTGCTCAATTCGACTCGACACGTTCCTCGGAGACTGGCCCTGCGTTCGCCTTAGTCGCCGGCCTCTGTCCGCGCTCCCCACGTCCACTAGATCAAATCAAAATAGAAAAGAACAACGAAAAAACAGTCAAAACTCACAAAATACACAGGGTCGGATCGCCTCCTACAATGAGACTAACGACAAAGGCAAGGGAGACTGCGATGAGTATGCAACGTGCAGCCGTGTTACGATAGCCGTAGAGACGACGATTCAAAGTTTGACATGATCGGTAAACATGGCGACATCACAATTTACTTCAATGACCAGTTCGTTAACGTTTATGATGAACAGAAGAGGACGAAGAACGGAGTCCTGAGGAACACCATTCTCAACCGCAATCTTCGCCAACTACTGGCTACCGACATGTACAATTTTAGAGCGGCCTATTAAGAAGATTAGGATACATACTCTCGAGTGCCTCGCTAAAGTCGGTATAGATTCCATGCACCGCATTCCCTTCATCAAGTTCTCGAGTCTAGGGCGTCTGTTAGTATTGCAAGTTTGTCACGCAGGGCAGACCGCTATGGAATACGCGCTGGGCAACAGACAGTGAGTTAAGCTGCCCTAAGAACCTCATTGGTCCTCACCAAATTATTTTCAATCATTTTACAGCTAATGAAACTGAGACTAACTGACCTATGATTGTGAAGACATCTCTGTTTCATTTATATATCGCGTTATTTGTGTTGATTTTCAATAGGTGGATAAATGGCCGGTGTGAAGGGAGTCCCTATAAAGTATGGTGAGCGGTACGGCTATTTCGCCAGCGGGCTGCCTCAACAATTTTGTTGTTGTGCTATCTGGACGGCTGATTTACATCCGTTCAGTGTCAACGGTTCTCTATCAGTAGTTGATTCGGCAAAAGATGCGGCCACAATCGCTATGTCTTCCACTAAGTCGTAGTTAGAATGGTAAGTTCGATTTCGCCTATAAAGATGGACTTAAAGGTCGTGAAAATGCTCTGCTTTTTAGGTCATTACTAATCTCTAGGTCTTCGGTAGTCTTCAGTTGGAGTAGAGGGTCTCTGTTTAGTAAGCGCCACTCTTATTTAACCGTAAAATGACCTCAGACTCTTAACGGTACGGTTCAAAAGGTCTTTTCCCACATCTCGCTGTGTCCCGAGGACAACTCACTTGACTTAGTTTCTTTGCGCATTTAATGAAGTTATCGGCACAGACACCTTATCAGCGAGCTCTTTTCCCTGCTAATTCCGTTTACTTTCACTCCCCTTTTTGAAGTCCGTGCCAGCCACTTGGGTCTGATTTTCAGTCTCCTCAATGAAATCGAGCGGTGGTTACGGAAAAGAAGGTGCAATAATTCACTGAACCACTCCCCATTCTTGATGATATTGTTGAAACAGTTTTATTCCCCGTTTATTTTCTATATCGGTCTTCCTTTGGTCGAAGACACAGCGATAATATTTCTTGTAACTTTGGTGGGCTGTCCAGACATAGGAAAATTACAATATATCCAGAGCAGTATGGCATGATCTTTTCGACTAAGGGAAGGTACGCATTAACCTAATTAATGCTGCCAAGTGACTTCGTGGGCATAAGATCCAGTCAACTTGACTGTTGCCCTTACACACCAACGTAGAAAATAAAGCGTGCTGAGGGCGAGATAGCCTGAGCGTCATGTCCAATAAGCGTCAGTCGAACGTCAGGTCATCACCGAATACGCAAGCTGAACTCCTCTAAATAAGCATTGCATTAATTCCATCAATGATCATGACGTAAGGACAAGTAGAAAATATTTAAGCTTCTCTGCCAAACGAGCACCAGACTCGAGGTCACTACTTGGTTGTAGATAGAATGTCATAACTTTGAGACTTTGCTATCCTGCGACATTTATAGTGGGCCAGGTAGCCTTACTGTTGCATACGAAACTTTCTGCTTTTTCTGATACAAGCAGTCCGCACTTTACGTACATAAGCACTTCTCCTCTGTGGTGCCCTTTCTCGTCTGTTAAAAAACCAGTAAAATTCAGTTAGTGCCAATTTGCGACCATCCACAATGCCACAAGACCAGGTCTCTGTCAAGGAGAATAAATCGCAGTAGAGGTCACAGATGTGGACTTTAAGTTCATTGAACTAAGACAATGTTCTCTGCACGCTGGCGTACACAAATCTGATCTTTATATTTTAAGCTGCTTCGCTGCAGCGCAGATTAAGTCTTCGTTTAACTGAGCAACGGTGCCGCCATTCGAACTGATTCCGTCCAACTGAGCGTGGGAGTACGCTGAATTATCTGATTGTCGTATATCACCAGATTTTCCCCACTTTTCAATCGCATTTTCAGTTCCAACACTAATTGCGGATGTATCATTCTCTCCTCCGCCGTTTATTTTGATTGACAAAAAACGCCGCGGCCAGTACGCTCGGTCATGGAGCATCCTGAGATAATATATCTAACTGGTTCTCAACCAGCCAGCATTACTTTTAGGGTTTGGGGCCTTGGGCATTCTGACATGTCGGCTGAACACTCTCCAGGCTGAAAGACCTTGCGCACCGCAGCTACGTCCGTGGACTTCAAAAGCCCTTAAAGGAGGTTTTGGAAAAGCCATAAATCTGCCCTTTGTCTGACGAATGGATCCTCTTCACGGGGATTGCTTGTCTGCAAAAGATTAACAGTTGATCGTCACGAAGTAATGAGGAAACATGTAGCGTTTTGTCGAATTCTTAACTCTGCTCTGCCTTGTATGCGTTATATCCGTCTCTTGACGCGCTAACTAGTTCCACAATATATGAGATAGTCGCGGATAAGACCTGCACCCTATGGGCACTAAATAATCAAAATGGAGATGAGTTGACCGTCGGAATACGGACCAAAGATTCGGTCTCAAGCAGTCCGAAAAGGCACTTAAATGGTCTTTAAGAATGCACACGCCCGCCTGTAGAAAAGGGGCTGAAAACCTCTTCGAGCCAATCTGCAAACGGCAAGTATTAGTAAACACATTCAATTATTTAGTAGAATAACTGTGACAGTTATATATAGGTAAGTAAGTTTTCCGTTAAGTACCCCTAAGGGTACTGCCGTAGCAATTGAAAATCAATTTTCGAGTGAATTCTATACAAATAGGCCTATTAATCTTAATCCGTATTGCTGCCATTTTTTGGGATCGCCACATCTCCTTGACCGAAGTATATTCTGCGTATGTGGAACCATGACGACTGCCTTTGCCCATACTTTATAAAAACATATTTCCAGTTCCTATATTTTTCCGGTTCTATCCAATAACATCTTATAACTGTTCCCAGTTTTCTTATGAAATCCCACTGATATTCTAGAAGGCAGCTACGACTTTTCTGACTCGATTCGCTCTCGAAAATTCGCGACATCTAACGCAACTCGCGTCCAAATTACTGTTGGGGCTCGTAAACCGTCATTTTCCAACCTTACCCGTCCTCTAATTGCAGATTTCCCACTTCATTTGGAATTTGCACGTCTTTCCGCAATTTGATATCTCAGGCAATGATTTGTGCCTAAAGTACGCGTCTTCCAAATAAAATGGAAAAAGGTCTCATATTTTTCGCAGTTTACAGTAATCTGCCTAAAAATGCCGACGCCACTGCGTTCATGGATCACAGTGTAAGCATTATCTTCGTCCTTCGTTCCCCATTAGGAAAGAGCTTCAACTCGAGTCTCAAGCCTTACGATCCAGTTTGTGTCGGCTATTTATTGACTCGCAGTAAGCCTCAAACCCATGCTTTCAAGGGTGCAGACGAAGGCGCCTGTTTTTATCCACAAATTGCCGGACAACATGTTTGCCACAGCACGTGCACGCTTAGACTCGGTTGCCTGCTTTGCCACCCCGCTGTTCACACTTAATCTCCGACTTGTAGTTACCCCTTCTTTTTTCCCGCAACATTAACTGTTTTACGCATTTTTTGTAGCATGTCAAAATTGGCATCAAAGAGAACACATCAGAGGCGTGTAGACTGATGTGTCAATGAATTTTTACACCAAACTGCCGAGAATATGAGGGAAGGGCACTAGTCCGATGCATTGTCATCTACACGTGGTGGCTCCTCCTCCTACCGTTTATCATCCGACTCTACTGTTTGCTGATTCCAAAGGCGCTGGAGAACCTTGGATGTTCAAGAACCTTGAACTTCTATTTGGCTAGGTATTGTGTGCGTAAGTTGGCATCTGTGCGCAGAAACAAATCGTGCCGAAATCCTTTTCCTGATGAATTTAGGTAGGAAAAATCGTCCAGAAAATGCGAAAACCAAAGTCGAACGTTCGGTTTGAACGTTAATGTCGAAGACAGTAGCTAGGAAATTATACCCGAGCTGACATTAATTAAGCAGAGCTTGAGCCAGTTGTCAGCTATGAGGGGTAGGTGTGTGGGTCAGATAAAACTGGCCTGCATGTGGTATTGTATAAGGGATTGAAGACGGCCATCGTCAGGGCAGAATTCATACACCGGATTGGATTATTCGCGTCAAAATGGCGAGACGAGTGGAACCCAGATGCGATCGGTCACAGTCCTCTTCGAGCCCAGCCGAGGTGGGGGCAAGGGAGATACGACCAAACTACTAGTAGACGGCGAATACAGTGAGTTCCGCCGTGAAGGCTGACAGATCGCTTGAGGTCGAACTGAGGAGATGACGCCAAGAACCACGAAGTGGACGGAGTCCTCACTCAAAAATAATCTGATAGTCCAGAGTCCATAAAGTTGCGTACCTGATCGTAGGAAACACGAGCAAAATCAACTTAGTTTTGCCTTGACAATGGCTTAGCGACATGAGAAACAGTAAGACAAGGTGTATGGACGAGGTGTACCAGCTATCCCGCTCGGTCTAGGTAATAAAACAGTACTTTCATGGGATAACGAACAGTATCCTGAACCGTATTCGAAAGACGATACGAGACCAGGTGAATGGAAAGGGGACTTTTGAAGAAGGAGACACGACCGCTGGGGCAAGAGCTTTATTAGCCTGACGTTACGGATGCGGTCGCCATACTGCCGCATACCTATGAATGTTCATGGTTCCCACCTTCATCCGGGATCGTCGCACTTGGTGTGATGACTGTTGGATGGCCGACATTTGCGTCGTTAATTGCTGCGATCTCATTACGTGCGTTGGATGTTGGTGTGATGATTGCTCGACCATCTGACGCACCGACGCTGGTGTTGGGATAATTGTTCACCTGCGCGCTCCCCGCGTGGCTAATTATTCCGCCTAGGCGAAGTTTCAACACCTAGTGTGGGAGCGGAAGGTCGTTGCACCTGTTATAGGACTGAGGGCCAGTAAACAATGACTCAAGCAGGTCCCGGCTCACTCGGCTGTCACCTCCAGCCAGAATTTTGGCCTCGTCGAATTTGAACATGTGGCCGGATCTTGTCAAATGAGCCGCAACCTCAGAGCTAGAGACATTTCTCCGTACCAATGCAGCGTACTCGGCCATTCGCGTTTGGGTCTGTTTTACTTAGAGAACTCAGGTGCAATAACACCGACCGAGACAAACATGGCGAGACCCCAAGATGGGGCTTTGTCCTGATTCTATGGCCTCCCTAAGGTGCACAAAGACGGTGCTCCACTCCGACCCATCGTGTCGCTAAAAGGTACTCCAAAGCACGGACTGGCTAAGTGGCTGTTCCGGCGTCTGAATTTCCTGACCGCTGAGTCAGACACCACGGTCTCTTCGTCAGCACAATTCCTGGAGAAACTCAAAGGAGTAAGTCTCCATTCAAATGAGGTCATGGTATCTTTTGATGTTACACCCCTTTAAAGACTGGGCGGAAAATGTCATTCAGTCATTTTCTTGCTAACAAAAATGTCCGGCGATCATTTTCATGTTCGATGGGGACATTGAGTCTTGCTTGAATAATCTGCAGAGTTGGTCTTGATTGCCAGTTTAAGAGGATATATAAGTATTTAAACAGAAATGTGCGCACAACTATCAACTGGCTTCCAGAGGCAAACCAACTCTGCTAAACTTCTTGAAATAATCATTGTTGCCAGAATTACTGACTTTTCCATAGACAACCAGGTTATTAGTCCTTCTCTTCACATGCTCTTCGCCCATGTGAATCGTGTCAGATATCTCTTCCACTTCTTATCAATTAGTTTCTGGAACTCGCATCTCCGCCTGTATTTGCAGTTTCTCCATTTACTTACTTCTCTTCGATATAGTCGTATATCTGTAACTTTAATTTATTTTGATCTCAATAAAGCCTTGGATAAGGTGCCACACAGAAGACTATTAGTTAAATAAGAAGCTCCGGGACTTCGCAGTCCACTTACTGATTTTAGTAAGTCATACCTATGTAATCGTAATCAAGTGGTTTTAACTCTCATTGTCCAATAACAGCCGAATTTTAAGTGATGTCCTCCAAAGTATCTTTTTAGATTATCTTTTGTGTTTGCTTTACATTAGTAATATTTCGTCGGCGGTCAAACACTCTCAATCTTTTATTTATGCCGACAACCTCAATTTTGTATATTCATTCTCCAAATACACGCCCCGCCATTGCCTGGAGCGAATCCATGGTGAATTTCTTACCGTTTCCGCGTGAGGGTCAACATGATCAATTTAATTATTTCAATCCAAATATTGCTATGTGTGTCTTGGTCCTGAAAAGCTTCCCCAACAAGCAGTTCTTCAAGTCACACCTATGATCGAATGTGCCACCATCAAGGATTTAGGTTAAGGATACACTACTAATCTAGATTTCCCGCCACACGCGGACAGAATTATGATCAAATCTGTCCAGATTTGTGGATGTACTTTTTATAGTTTCCACTTCCCTAAAGTCTAACTAAGAATTTTTCAAGTGTTCGCCCGTCCCATTCCTTGATTTACTGAACGAGGCTAATCGTTCAAAAATCGAAAACGTTCAAAGGCTTTTTACCAGAAAACTCATAAGCAAGGCACATAAAAGCACTTCCTATTTAAATTGATGTCAGCCAACTAACCTAAAATTCATGTGGGTTCGGAAACTAGAAGAAAATTCTGTCACCTTTTTCGCATAAATAACAATCCAAATCTTTCTCCGTTTCCAGCCCTTACCCATGTTATTCGCCGAAACAATCTATGCAATTTTTCCATAATTATACTTCTTCCTGCTTCTTCCACCTCTAAGCGCTCCCTTTCCTTCTCTCTCACGTATACTTTCCTTTGGGATATTCTTCCAGTCCATGTAAGATCATCAGATTATCTATACACATTGAAGAGAAGGCCCCGTCTTAATCTAAATACCGGCTCAGCAAAACTATTTTCTCCATCCTTCACGGGAGACTATATCTAAGACATTGAGAAAAAACTACCGGGAATTTAGGGTGTCATCACCAAATGACCGCACCTGTTCACATTTCTCCCCTTGCGCGTGGTTTCCTTGCTCATGATTTCTCGTCAAAAGTCTCGATTTTTCAGTCCGTGCATCATGTCCTTCACAGAGCACGATATTCCCGTGACCATGTCGACATACATGCTCTAAACTGCCTCTGTTTCGCCTGTCGCAGAACATCCTCAGGAATTCATTCCGATCTCTGGGATTCCAAGTCCTCAACCAAATGTCTGCAACTCCCTTGGTCTGCCACCACCTAACATTTCCATGTTCTCATCCTAGCCTCATGAAGAATTTTCCCTGTTTCTCTAGATCCCTTTGCGAACGATGATTTTCGCGGATCTTAACGTCATCCCCCCAGTTCGACCCCCAGCCATATGTTGAGATCACGTCGGACGCCTATGTTTTCATCATCTTCTAATAGCTTGGCTGGTCGTCAAAAAGTGCCATGGATGTTTCTCCCATCTACGCTTCGATGACGCCCGCAGCGCTAAATATCCCCCTCCTTACCTGGATTCTAAGAGAACTGCGATCGATCGCGTTGGGTCTCTTCTGTCTCGCCAATTTGACGAATGCGTCTGGCGTTCTGCCGAAAATATTAGCATCGCATCGGTAGTCAGGAGGGTTACGCTGTTTGTGAATTTAAGACTGGTGAGGACAGTACTGAATACTCACATACTCTTACCTGAGGAACGGTCTTGTCCGAACCGCATATTTACCTTCCCATGAGACAGTTTTTTTGTCCAGAAAACTAATTAAACCGCATTCATACTGTCTTTAAAAAAACAAGGAAAATTTTTTCCCTGTCCACTAACAATTGTTTTTTTTAAATCAGACTGCCTATTTTATAAGCATGGGCTTAGCATTGTACAGCGTTTACCTAATTGTCCCGATATTTTTCCGAAAATTTATTTCTATTTACTGTTACAATACCCTCATGGTTAGTAAATAAGGCAATTTATTTATTTAAGAGTAGTGAAGGACTCTTTTTAGGTGCGGACCCACGATGTAGATGGTGTGATCGAGTTTCGCTGAAGATGGCGGACCACGTAGAACCCCCCACTCCAGATGAGAGTATTGTAAATGCAACACACCGTATTTTATGTAACATTGTCGTTGGGACAGTTTTCTGCATTTCTATTACTTTTTCCTGTGAATAAACATGTGTGTTCAGCGCGCTGCTTGCCAAATTAGTTCACTATTACCGCTGACATGAAACGACCGCAGGTGTCTAGGTACCCATGTGGGCCAACATCCGCGTTGCCGGCCGCAAAAAACCCTCGCAATGACCTCTACTTCAGACCAGCTAAAAAGCCGTATGAATACATCGGTTTGAAATCCAAACGACCAGCGTTATTGCTGTGAGCCGGGAATAATCTTAGTGTAATGGACAACTATTTTGAAGAGCGATTTTTCCTTGGTCCCTTTATTGGAATCCCACGCCACGTGAATATTGACATATGCCCCCATTACGTCACGCTCGATAAGTCCTATTCTTCGTTAGCCCTTTTCTATACTTTGCGCCCTGTTGTGCGCTTTTTTCCTAAGCTGAACCAAAGTTCGACTTACATAATATATATTCACTCTTTTCTGTTGCATTATCGATATCGACTATCACCGCGTATTTTATCTGTGTTTCGAGGCTTATCACAACGTTCTACTGTTTTTCTTGCGTTTAATAATATGCATTTTTGGGGATTTATTATTACTGATCCTCCCAGATCCCCGACCGATTTACACCAAGAACCAACTCATCTTTTAGGCAATTTCATGTTGCCAACATACTGGGAAGATCTTCATCTAGTTTTTCCGACATTCCGCGAAGGCAGACCTCACTGCCAATAGAAGCGAAGAGACGAGTCCCAGGAAGTAGTCTTATAGAAGGAGACACGATCGCCGGGACAACAGCTTTATTGGCCTGACGTTTCGGATTCCTACTCGAATCCATCATCAGAGACAAAAAAGCAGAGACAAAAAAAGCTTATTGTCTCTGATGATGGATTCGAATAGGAATCCGAAACAGCAGATCTCACTCTTTACTACACCGTGTAACGTCCCACGACCTCGATAGGGTTGTTTGGATGAAGAGACAATCTTAGCGCGCGGACCTCGGACGGCGATGGTGTCACTGCGTGCTCGTAAAGATTGCCGGAGTCTCTTCTCTTTACTTCCGCCGAACCCCTTTCCCGCACCTTAGCTTTACGCCTGCAACGCTCTCTCACTCTCTACGTCGGCACCTCCCTCGGCCCTCCTCTGCAGTTGCCCACAGGGCTGCTTTCCCCACCGGTTAATTAGCTGGCATTTCGGTATCTTACCTCTACTCAGATGGGTTACTTTACTGTTGTAACCCATTCTGCTTGTATAATTAAGTATTATTGCCCGTAATTACCGTGCACATTTCTTTCAATTATACTCTATCCTATACATGGCTTACCTTCTTCTCCTGCCTGTGAATGAGTATCATGAGTTGCTAACAGCTCTGTCAAGATCGATCTCCGCTAGGATCTCTTCCCTGCACTTCGCTACTTTGGTGTGGGCTACCCTTGACGTCCTCGGCCGTTACATCCGTTCGGCACCTACATGAGGACACGTTCGGGGAAAATGAGCCAATCAGCAAAAAGACACTTTGGGGCCAATAGGGAAGGTGTGGGCACTGGCGACTCTATAAGGTTAATCTCGCGGGCAGGACAGGCTTTCCACCGCTAACCAAGTCTGTCAATCGTCGCCCTTTTGTCCTTCTCACTGTAAGCAACGCGTTATCAGCCACTTTGTTCTTTAATCAGAGCTCGGGCCACTAGCCGCTAACATCGGAGCCGTCATAGATAGCTTTATAGAAATGTGCGTTTAAGTTTTGCGAATATTTTCATGCTACTCTCGAGAAGTTAATTGACAAACATGTTTTTGGTAATTCACCATCAAGCCACCACAAGTATATGGATAATGACTATGTGAGCCATAGACAGGGTTTATATGTGCCGCGGGGGGGGGGGTTAGTCATGACTAACTTACACTCGTTCCCACGCTGTCTGCCCGACGAAGTCGAAGTTTCCCAGGGGCTTGTATGAAATGCATTTCACTGACACATTTTTGTCGTGACACCTGCGCAGAATTCGAATCTGCACATACGCCCGGGCCTCTCAAAGCGAAGGTTTTCCATTGATTGTTTTCTAAAATTCATATTTTCGCTTCTATTGATTCTTCGAACTATAGCACATAGAAGCTCTCTTTTTAGTATCCTTCTTTTCGGTCCGCCGTTCGTCTATTCTACCCGAACTATTACCCAAATACGGCACCCGATTGCATTATTTGTACATCCAGATTGTCCCTTTTACCCACAAATCTTGCATGATGAGAATACACAAAACGCCCGGTAGTATGATGTCGGTTTTGTGCCAAGTTAATAAGCAGCATCCCTGACGGAGTTGCTTTGTTGGTCAGTTGCAGCACACTCAAGCGGTTTTACCCTCCCCAGCCGGATAGCCGTTCTTTCACGATTCTCGCGTTTGCCTCCACAGTTTTCGTCGAGCTCAGGGCAAGGCTATTCCCCTGATCCTCCACCCAATCTGTCACCGCATTGTTCATGTGAAAAGCGTCACACGACCGTCGCTCGACGTTTATTTTGCTTTCTAGTATTTACAACTAGATACTCCATCTCTGCACTAACCATATAACTTATTTCCTTATTTTTAGTCAAAAATAAAATTGACAGCCGCTGTCCTCTCTACCTTTCGCTTGTCTCTTACGAGTATCTTTCCTCTCGTTTCCATCGTGTTACAAACGACGGGGTGTTTTAAGCCGTTTTTATTAGCTGCCTCCTCCAGAAGATCTTCATATTTTTTTTATTTCAGACGATGTCGGGCGCCTGCGGCGTGGATGGTAGCCAATCATCGAAAAATTCTCTGGAAGCCATGGAAAACATGTTTGTTTATTCCACATTTATTCCTATTTTATAGTGTTAAACAACAAGTTGCAGCCATAGGACAGCTGGATGCCTCCCTTTCTGCTCTAGAGAAAGAAAATGAGCGTTTGGGTAAGTATTACGTATTTGAACGTCAAAAGTCTTGGTCCCGCACCGCCGAAGTGCAGAAAAGTTTGTAGAAGTTGGCGCGCTTTCGTGTTCATCTGTTATTCGGCCACTATAAAATGACGAATCTGATGTCCTTCAGGGTGCAGTCTCGTCATGGATAGCTAAATCACCTCAAACATGTGATAATGTTCGTCAACTTGCAGTTGTGCCAAACCATTGTACAAGGGAGATCATGTCTTTCTTCTAGGGAATGTCTGCAGTCGCGTGTTGTGCCGTCACCACAACAGCCAGTGCTATGGACCTCGCTTGCTACTCAATGTGTTTCATATACTTGGGGAAAAGGGAGGAAGGGACACGTTTATTGCTTCGAGTGCTTTTCCATCCCACCCCAATCTTCTGTGGCATTTGGTTTCACTGAATTCTCAATCTGGATAAGATTAAAAGAGTAACGTTTAAAATTTTATTGATGGAACCCCTCTTCTATAAAGGAACGTCTCTCAGGCAGCCGGTTTTTTGCGCAGTTATGCTGCATCCTCTACTTGTTTTAGATATAGTTTGATTATCTTGACAATTAAAATTATCATTTTGATGCACGTACGGCCATCACGGAACGCTTCTTATCCGAACACCCCATTTCGATTTATTTGACTCATTTTCGCCCATCACAATACTGATCCGAACTTTTCAAACCTAGGGCTCGTAATCTACATTATACTGCTAACTGAGTGAACTTGTTTTGCCCCCGCTGTGGCTGCTCTTGCTCAATGTTTCTAATTAATCTCACAGTTAACCGCCTACCTACCGTTGCTGAAATTCCACCCATCCCTGTAACTTTCTGATGCCAACGACCTGTAACGTTTCCGCATTGAGAACATCCCGCGTCCGATTCACCCAGTTGTTTGTTTGTTTTGCGATGATACCACCAGTAGCTTAGTCACGCTTTCACACCAACAAAAAATCAAACCTTTTTAAACTCCTTTCTCGATAGCTTTTTCTAAAGGCTCGGACGTAATCAGAAGAAACGGACAGTCTACTCTAAGGATAGGCGTTTGTCGTGAGTACATTATAGTTGATCAGTGACTTGATGTCAATACGATGATTGCTGTAATCCTGTTTCAGCGACAGAGGTCTACTTTGGCTCGATCGGGGTAGTCATAGTTCGTCCGTCCCCATTCCTCCTCTATTACCATAATCAACATTGTCATCAGCACTGACAGGCGCTACAGCTAAGTGCTTTCTACTAGATCACGAAGACTGGAACCGTTGCCAGTTAGGACCCCGAAGTCAAATACGAACTAAATGGGTCCAGGGACAGAGAAACAATTGAATCCCATTAAAATCACACTGTCGTGTTTTTCCCGACCTTCTTTGAGATGCCCTCTTAGGGAATTCTGACCATTTTTAAGCTCCAATGTGTTTTATCCATCTCCCATCTGTTTTCTTCTGCTCTAATACCAGCCGCAGAACAGCGAGCGATTGAATCAAGTACCACAAAGGCTGAAGCCGAAGCCCTTCGCCGCTTTGTCGCTAGTGAATTCCGTTTGGCTCAGGCACACACCTTCCTGGTAGGTTTCCTTTTAATTTCAGCAGTCGTCAACGCAGGGTGACTACTAAAAACAGCCGTACAAGCGGGCCCGCCACTGCTTGTCGTCTGTTTCGACAGAAGCAACAACGACGATGCCAGTATCTACTCTTGACTACCTTCACTATGGCGGGCTTCTCAGTCCAGCCCTGAGCGCACTGTACAGGGCCGCCATCGAACACGCAAAAGTTACAAAGACAAAGCTTAAACAGAGCTTCGACGATCTCACGGCCTGGAAGTTCTCTCCAGACAGGTATGTAGAAGCAGCCTTGTTACGTCTCGATGACGTTTCATTTGTCATCTGAGTTGCCGATTTAGTCAACTCTTAAGATATATTCCCCAGAGAGTTCGGAAAACAATAATAAGAACATTAAGCTGAATTATGACCTGACCGCCAGCTTCACTTTTCGTGAAATCGCATTCTGTGTTCGACCAATTTCTCGGTAGAGGTGGTAACTTGCAGCAGCTGCAATGCCTATCAGTCTTAGTTAGTCCAGGTAGCGGGATTGTCGTCAAACTCTTTGCCAATCAGTCATCTGTCTAGAGAATAAACCACCTCATTGTCACGTGAGGTAGCTCATACGAAAAATGTCTGTCATCTGGGCACTCATAACAGACACCACAGGCGTTTCTATTTGTTGTGGCCGGCCGGTTAGAAATACCTAATGTATCCTGTTGAAATGTAGTACTTGCAGAAATGTATTTAATTTTTGGAAGAACATTTTTCATGGAACAGTTATGACATTCAGAGAAACCCATTCTAAGGCTCCCTTAGGCTCATGGTAACCAAGGTATTTGCTTGATCATGTAAATGACTGTGTTTAGGGCTTTGATGCAATGGAAACTCCGGGCCTCCCCAACGGACTTTTTTTCTGCCGTCGTCATGCCACTGACGAGCTGTGCCTAAAAGAACTTCCACCGTTTAGCCTCACAAAGGCCTTATTTGCCATTCACGAAACGAAGTTAGTGGCCAGTTAGTGTCAGCCGTTTTGTGGGCTTGACTGCCCAACTTGTACTCCGTGTACCCGCCAACACGTCTTTCACATGCTTGAACATTACTGGCAGCAGTCATATCCTGTCCTCAGTTTTAAATTTGTTGGCGATTTCGACCGACGATGACTGTTCTCAACACGCCTAACAGCACTTGAATGCAGTCACTGCTGGCCTATTGCCAAAATAGATCACTATTTAGGAGCGGCGAAACCGTTTTCGCTCCAACGCCAGTAAGGAACAGTTGTTTTCATTCTTCTGGCACCTATCGTCTACCGCGACTTTCTGTCCTTACGCCCCCAAATCCTCTACGACGTTAGTTCTCTATGCCATTAGTTCTAAGTTTGTAAACTTACACGACCATATTTTTGCTGTCAGCTTGAAGACAGTAGTGTTCCCTCTACAGTTAATATTGTTGCCTTTTGACACTTGCTGTCCCTATTCTCCCTCTAAATAGGACTGGGTTCTGAAATGGTGGTGGTTAGGACGGGCTCAGTGCAGGCCAGATAAGGTCCTACAAACTTTGTAACGAGTGTTACGCAGTTATCGGATAACAGGCACCGGGCTGAAGTCTATTTGCTCAGAAGTCCTCTCCACTCCCCAGAAATAACGAATGTGTGCAGTAGGTGGCGTATCTCGTGAAATTTTCACGGAAATTCCGAAGTGTTTCCCACCAGAAAGAATTGCTAAGGTTGGGTTTTAATATTGATTATCGTGCGTCATCATCCAAAGACTTTCTAGTCACGTCAGGATGCCGGCTTTTGGATGCGTTTTTTTGCGGCCGCGTGTCAAAATCACACCCGGCAAGATGACTGCTTTAGTAGTGTGCATTTTCCATTGATCTTCGGTGCTCTTATATATTTTGCAGACGGTATTCACAAAATATCCTGCCTTGCGCCCATTTAGCAGTAAATTTCGTCATCCTTAGGTTTTCAAAAGCATCGCAATGCCCGGATAATGTTTTGTCCGATCTACCTTTGCGCCTACACTTAGGCTTTCCAAACTACAAGCTGTAAGGAGAATCATGCATTTCTCTATGCTATTACAAAGATACCTTGTGGAGCTCATACGATTTTGCGATTGATTTGAACTATGCTGCTTATTTCATAATCAGCATTAATAAACCAACAGATACTATGCCGTTTGAATAGTTTTCGCGCTTCCAAGAAGCCTCAAAAAAGTTAAAACCTGAAGGTACTCTTTCTTGGGGTGTAGCATTTTAAGAAGACATTATTTACTACAAAATGAGCATAGTAGGATATTTTATATGTATTTTATGTAAAATGTACTTGACGTTATGGGGCATCATAAATCAGTGGGAAAGTGCATACTACTCAAGCAGTCATTTTCGTCAAATGTCTATGAATTACGTGAGCCTGGTAGTCATCTGGTGAAGTCTAGGTGAATTACTTAGGAAATCCTGCTTGGGCCGTCAACTTACTGTATCAGATTTGGTAGATTCCAGACGTTGCAGTAGGTTGGGCGGGTAACTTGACCCAGATGTGATTAAACTGGCGTCGTCCAGCGGGGCCTCGTAGCTCAAGTGGTTAGAGCGTTGGCTGTACTAAAGCCTTCCCCTTACTGCGTGGGCTCGAATCCCACCGAGGCGCGGAGTTTTTCACAGTCGGGTCAATATGAAATGTCGTCTTGGCATGTGGCCGGAAAAAGCTCATTCGAAAGCCTTCATCCTGGCGCGACTGACACATCTTGCAATTGCGTTGCACGATAATATTCGGACTCCACTAAGCCAATTCCTTCTGCTCGAAAGCACATTTCAGAATTCCGACCAATGTTTCATGAGATACGTCAACTCCCATATATTCCTCTTAAATTGAACTCGTGGTCGCATAGAATTGCAGAGGACACTTACACATTCCTGTTGACGAATTATGAAATATTTTCCCTCTGAGAGGGATAAATAAACTGCGTGCAGGGTTTACTTGCCATAACCAAAATGTCGGAGCTGTAGGTTGTGTGCAATCGACTTGCCAATACCTTACAAAAGGCGTCTGCGGATCAGAACGTAGGACGTATAGCAAGAGATTACAGTGTAACAGCATTTCCTGCTACATTATCTAACAGTTCTCGTGGCAGTCTTCGATTTTACTTTACAGTAGATGTGCTAACTCATGAAATGTCAACCAAAATTTCGAAATGCGTTCTCGTTTCGAAAAGATAAATTAAGTAGTGTTATAAAACTAATCATGATGCAGCATAAATCTATAATGATCCAGTTACCTCATGGTGTCGACTTTCGAAAGAACTTATTTTCGGCTGCATGCAAGATCTATACTCTGCAAAAAATGATTACTTAAGTAGCATGCAATTTTCTCATTGATTTTCGATGCCCTTGAAAATTCAATTATATTTCATGGGAAACATGCATAAAACTATTCATTCTTTTACTTATTCGGTAGAAAATCACGTCTTCACCCAATTTCATACTCAAAAGAAGAATATAATTCGGTTTTAAGAAACTTTTCTAATTCCCGAATAATTTTGAACCCGACCTGCTGTTACACTTGCATTCAGGGTTTCAAAACTACAAGCTGTATATTTACCGTGTACGGAAAACCATGCATTTCTCTACAGTGTTAAGAGGAGACCATATGAGGTTCATAAAATTAAGCAGTGGATTTGAACAATATTGTTAACTTTACAAGCCACATTCGTAAATGCAGATACCTGACGTTTCATGAACGGTCATTTAACGGTATTAAAAATCTCACAATTATAAACTTTTTAAAACCGAATTATATTCTTCTTTTGAGAATAAAATTGAAAGAAGACGTGATTTTCTACCGAATAAGTAAAAGAATGAATATTTTTATGCATGTTTTCCATGAAATATAACTGAATTTTTAAGGGCATCGAAAATCAATGAGAAAATTGCATGCTACTTAAGTAGTAACTTTTGGAGAGTATAGATCTTGCATGCAGCCGAAAATAAGTTCTTTCGAAAGCCGACACCCTGAGGTAACTGGATCATTATAGAATTATGCTGCATCATGATTAGTTTTAGAACACTACTTAATTTGTCTTTTCGAAACGAGAACGCATTTCGAAAATTTGGTTGACATTTCATGAGTTAACACATCCACTGTACTTTGCCGAGTACTCACCAAAATCTATCAGGAATTAAGACTGCAAATATTAAACACACCCCTCTATTTTCTAGCCGCAAAACCCTTTAGTGCATGCAGTCTAAAATTCCCTCAGTCCACGATATTGACAAACAAGCCAACTGAGGACATCGTCACCCCAGCCACAGCTGCTCATGGTTCTTGCGAGCCTTCGAAGATGTCTATGAACCCTTCACACCACCTCATTTTATCCGAGGACCCGCGTGCACCTGACACCCATCTAACCAGTTTTCCCCTGCAGGTGTAGACGGTGGATTGTGCACGTAGTATATAAGTGAAAACTGGAAGCTTTAACTTGCCGTTTCGTGTACTCATCTTTCGCGGTCGATGCGGTAGCACAGCCAGATACTCATGTTTTTTGAAGAAGACGACTGAGTATATTTGAACTCGCACTTCGTCGCCCGCTCCAGGAATTCATACTGTTACCTTGAAGCTAGAGTTGCCGCTCTACTAGATTGTGCAACACAGCTCGTTCAGATTTTTGGGCGACTCTTGAACTCCGACATCTGATCGTGACTGCTGGGGAGAGCGTCAGGAAAATCAGCCACAGTCGTTGCCGCAGATCCTGGGACGTGACGAAGCACAACAAAACACCTGAGGTCGGTTAGGTCAGACGGACTTACTAGGTACAATTAGATCGGAGTTCATAAGCTCTTCGAAGGGCGTTAAGTTGAGTCTGTTCTCAGCCCATGAAATTCGGGGCACATTAATTTTTAGATTATGAAGATGATGGTCCATGGCCTTCCTCTGGCTGGTCTAACATTCAGTAGAGGCTAATTAACTGGACTTAGTAACCACAAAACTTGAAACGAATAACAATTCACGCTATAGGGCCTTCTGCGATGGCACTGGTGCTTTGGTTAACGAATTGAATAACCATGATGAGCAGAGTGGTATTTTCAATATAGTAGACGCCGTTGTAGTTTTTAATACTTTTTGGCTTTCTCAAGCGTAGTCTTTTTTATGTAAATCCAGCCCCTCAGGAAAGCGTCTCATGACTTGCATGCGTCAGTTACTGGCGAAAAACGAAGGTCTTGGACGTGTCAACGAGGCCGACCGCTTGACCGCTCTGGAGTCTGAGGCCGCGATGCAGGCGACTTGCATAGAAGAATTTCTGAAGACTAACCAGGGTAACCACCGTATCATTCGCGGACAACTATTGCCTTTTAGAACTAGAATCTGTGCTAGAGGAATCTTCATTTGATTTGGAGGGACTCCAAAGTAGCCTTCTAATACTCAAACAGCAGCTCTGTCTGGCCCAGTCCCTGCTAGATGATCTCAAGGTGACTTGCAAAATTTTCTCCTACCCATTGTTGCAAAGGGTAACGTGCTGTGTTGTTTGAATTACATTAATACCATAGGCCATCATATTCTGATATGTTTTCAAAAACACTTATGCAAGTGATAACCGTCGTCACAGACACGGATTTTTTTTAGGATGGGATTTCCCTATAGCTCGCATGTAGTTTTCCATGATGATTCAGTTATTCACCATACATTTGAAATTGATCAGAATTACCCGAGCCAGAGGTTCAGAACAACCTTTTCGACTTGGACCCATTTGTGGTGTACACACTGAAGGGGTTGAAAATAAGGGTAGGGAACATAGTACAGATGAGGCGATCTTTCCTGTGGCAGACACCCTTTCTAATCATGGCTGGTTCCCTCCGAGAAGACGGACACTAAAGATGATGTGCCCGAATGTACAGAACCTGTTTTACAAGATGAATGAACTCAGGACTCTGGTAGACGACCACACGCCAGATATCACTGCCTTGACAGAAACATGGCTTTCTGAAGCTGCTGAGGTATCCCTCAGAGATTATAAACTGAGGAGGAGTCGCTATCTATGTTAACTACAACCTAACCGCGATCCCTGAGTAATATCTCTCAACAACAGCGGAAGTGGACTTTTTATCTTTGACTATCTCCATTAAATACGCCTGGCTGCTGGCGTTAGCGGTTGGATATCGTCCCCCAAACCCGATTGCCGTACAAGACAGCCTTCTCCCAACGGAACTGAACAAGATCTGCTCGAACAGAGACGTCCTTATTGTTGGGGATTTTAACGCCCCCAATATCGGCTGGCAAACTTGGACGGTTTCGGGTCTATCGGACAATACTCGCTTGAGTTGGCGACGGAGAAAGGACTTTTCTAGAATGTAACTCTCGGAATACGCGTTAGAGAAGGCCAACATTCAAATTGCATTGACCTGATGCTCACTTGAGATGAGGAGAGTGTGCTGGATGTACAAGATCGCCCGCCAATTGGTGCTAGTGATCATATTTTGATGCCCTTTGAGTACTCCATGTTCTCCCAAACTGATTCACCTGAACAATTGGAAACCAATATCTAGAACGGAGATTTTTCCAGCATGCGAACGCAAGTCTTGGCAATATCGTGGAAAACCACATTGCAGGGAACAGTTAAGGACTACTGGAGCACGTCCAGCTCACTGGTCAAAAGAATCATTGATTTAAACTGTCCACTCAGACGAAAGAAAACAAGCAACCGTCCGCCGTGGATAAACCGAGGACCAAAAATCGCGTTTAGGTGGGGAAATAAGATGTAGAGACACTGTCGACTAACAGAGTTCTGAACACCTACAGGAATATAAGCGACCGCAGAACGTGTGTAAACGTGCGGCTAATAGACTTCGAAGGAACTGTGAGCTATGCATATTGCAAAACTCTTTGGAGCATCCTACAATCCTCTACGGTTACATACATTGTGACAGAAGAAATCGGGACCCGATTCCGGCGCTGAAGTCCCAGAACGGAGTAATTGGGACGGATGACCACATGAAGGCATCAGTCTTATCCAGTTTCTTTCAGTCAGCATCCACTCATGAAACAAATTCCCCTCCTATCCCTTACCCAGACCAACAACAAAGTCCTCCATCCCTTGCGTTAGAAGACAATCTTTACTTCCCACACACGTTGATAGGGACTGAACTACGCCGATTGAAGCCGACCAAATCACCTGGTCCAGATGAAATTCAGCCACTTGTCCTTCGAGAATTGGTTGATGTTTTGTGCGTGCCGGTGTCCATGATATTCCAAAATCCATGGAACCGCAGGAATGGAAAACTGCCTTTATTTCTCCAGTCTACAAAGGAGGGCCTTGGCTGGAGCCCAAAAACAACTGTCCTATTAGTTTAACGTGCATTTTGCGCAAGGTCGTGGAAAGAATTATTAAGGGACATTTAACGACTTATCTGGAACCTATTGTGTGCTGCACAGCACGGATTTCGTTGTGGTCACTCATGTCTTACGAGCAGTCTTTACTCGCGGGAAAAATGGGCAAAAGCCACAGACGAGGGCCGTCCAGTGGATGTCATCTTTTTCGACAAAAAAGGCATTTGATAGCGTTCCCATGGACGACTCCTACATACGATTTGGGAGTATGGAATACAGGGCAACATTTTAAAGTGGATTAAAGGTTTCCTGTCATGCAGGCTCCAAAGAGTAATTGTTGGTACCACTGCATCCGAATGGGTACCAGTAGAAAGCGGCGTTCCACAGGGTTCGGTCTTGGGTTCTCTCCTCTTCCTCATCTATATGAATGACTGTACTGCAGATCTTGAGTGCGATGCCATCATGTTTACTGATGATACAAAGATCTGGAAAACAATCAGCTTTGCTGATGACACGCAGAAATTACAGCAAGATATTGATAAGTTGGATGCATGGTCCAACAAGTGGCTTCTGTCGTTTAATGTATCCAAATGTGTAGTCTTGCACCTAGAATGCGGTCGTAGGCGCTTCACAAACCACGAGTACACCGCTAAAAGAAATGGACACGCGCAAGGACCCAGGCGTCTGGGCAAGTTCAAACTTGATGCCCTCCGTGCACTGTAAAAGAGCCTTCTAAAAGACAACCAGCATTATGTACTGGATTGGCGTGCCTTTGTAGTCTTTTCTCCCGAACTCTCCGCGAAGATATTTCGTACGTTCGTCAAACCGCATTCGGAATACGGAATGCCAGCATGGATGTCCTGGATGAAGAATGACAGTGATGCCATAGAGCGGTGCAACAACGGGCGACAAAGCTTATGGACGGTCTAAGGACTGTCATATCCAGAAAGACTGATCCAGTTTATTTTGTTCCCCCTAGCCTGCAGACAAATGAGATGTGACCTGTTATGAACATTCCTCATTACCCGCGGGCATGATTGTTTGTTGAAATCTGAAGATTTCTTTCACTTCACGACCATGAGTCACCTGCGCGGTCATCCGTAAAAGGTCAAGCGGGAGCGTACACGCCTATACCACCAGAAGTTTTCATTCAGTCAGCGTGTGGTTCAACCGTGGAACTCACTCCTAAGTGAAACAGCGATGTCTGACAATGGTTGTATTCAAACGACATCTGAACCGTTTGACCTTTGATAAAGGACGACTCTCAGTGCAGGACCATCTCCGGCCAACCATGAACTTTATTTCCTGATTTAATTCCATATGTAACGAATCCCTGCACGTTTGATGAAATTTTCTCCCACAAACTGCTCAAATGACTACATTTTGTGCTAATTGTGTATAATTGCATTTGTAATCTTAAATGTACATGGAAAGGACTGTCTGCCGTAACTTTCTCAATTGCCCAATGTAAAAACGCTTTCTGTAAACAAATATCCTACTGGCAGCATTCTAGTAACATGTGTTTGCAACATCAATATTGTGTGTACCTTTTTCAATAGGGTCATCAAGGGTATTGCCTGTTACCCTAAATATACTATACTCTACTCCTACTTCCAGTGAAATAACAGCATAATGCCCCTCTTTGCCAGTTTGATAGTCACTTCTGTCGCCAGTCCATTAAGTCGCCCATAATTAACATTTGCATTTGTTGAGTCGGGAAAGAACTTTTAAACACCAATCCCATTGCCATGTACAATGGAAGAGTGACATCCTCAAATCATGGAATAAATCGCTACAACTGTGTTATTATTTACCATACGGACAACACAAGTACTAGCTAGAAGTCCAGACGCGCGTGTTTCGTCGATCATGTGCCGCTGCCTAGCGCCGCTGCGCGGGGTTCGGCTCATCGGGGGGTCACTCAGCCTTCTCCGTATGTTTTCTGGTAATATGAACTCCAGTTTCACTTTGCGTCAGTACACCACACCACGGATGTACATGAGAACGTCCTCAAATGTTTATGCCATTTCCGAAGACCGATGTATTTATTTTCTGTTAATATTCTGAAGCTTAGGACGACGCATATTTCTACGTAATGGGCAGTTACTTGACATCGCCTCAGAATGGAATAGATTCTGAGCACATTCGTTCTTTAGAAAACCACAGTTTTTTCGATCATTTCCTTTCCCTTCATATGTAGCATTTTTCGGAGGTAACTGAGGTGAAAATGATTTATTTGCCTTATCTGGTCTTTCTACACAGTCCGCATCACGCCCCATACGGCAGCGTGGTCAGAATGACAGTCTGGCATATCCTAAGGTTCGTTTTCGGGACGCCACGACCATTCCAGACTGTGTTGCGCCTTGCTGAAGATTAGACTGGTTTTAGAAACCAGACTTACAATTTAGTCCTCGTTCTTGGCGTCTCTTGATACTGTACTCCCGAGGTATTCGAATTTGTTTACGGGCTTGCGAATTCCATTGATGCTTTCCATGGGTTTTTTACACTAATTATTTGGCGTTAGCTGATACCTGACCACTGTCGCCTCCGCGTTGATGGTTAAAACAAAGTTTGAGCAACCTGATGCAGGGAGATTCAGTCCCCGCCGCATGTATGTGCCAGCTGTAGTACTCAGCGCGTAGTCTTCCATGTGTAAGTCATAGACACTCGCCATGGATACCTCCGTTTCTACCCGCATGCCCCGGATGTTGAGTGGTTAACTGCCAGTTCGGCAGTTGACGTTCATTCGAGGACACTCTTCACCATAGGCTTTCATTAGCGTGGCGGAGTGGGAGCGAGCACAGAGCCCATTTTCATTCTGGTTGTCATTACCAACGCTACCGAAGCCGACCAAGTGTCCTCGACGCGAACCCTTCGCGCCCCATCATGCTGTCTGACCTTCTGCGTAAATCCATCCGGACACTCGAATGCCAGCGTCGCTTTCCCGATTCATTGTGTCGAAGACATTTGTCAGACCCACAAATGCGGTGTCACAGCTAATAAGCCAGAACTGACCATTCCAGTCTCCCTTGTCTTTGTCTTTCTGCCTATATCATGCGCCGCTGTGCGACGGCTGGTTGGGCTCGATAGAGAGTCCATAAGGCACAACGGAACGAGTGAGTTCCGTGAAAACGATCGGTGAGCGCCCCCTACCACGGTGTAACAGCTGTTCACAGCTTCTTTACACTTCATTGCATCTGGCGGGTCGCGAAGATCATGTCAGTGGTTTCCTGGTGTTTCGGAAATCCGCATTCCATTTCTGAAGGAAGGCTGTTGGGGTCAAGGGCATCAGATCAACTTTAACCACACAATAAGCTCGTTTCGTCTAGTGGGAAGTCAGAGAGCTGTGAAAGCTAGCTTATTCTAAGTATAGATCAGGTTACCATGACTTGGTAGTTTTCTCGTGAGTCAGCGTGATTAACGCTGTGTTGTTTTCGCCGGCCTGGCATGTCAGTATGAAAAATGATTGGCTGACTGTTGGACACTTTATTGGTTGGTCCATGGACTGGGTCAGACGTTTCATGATCAGGAGACACGAAGGGTGGAGGTCGGGTCAACGGTGACGAGCCAGACCGGCCAGCGAGCAAGCCGTTGGTGCCTGTTCGTATGCGTAGCCTTGACTCAGTACAACTGGATAAGGGACGCCTCCGGTCAAGTCCAGAGGGATGCCCGCGAGTTAGCGGCATGCGCGGTTGTCACGGCCGTCGACTGACAGGCAGACGCCGAAAAATGATTATTGTAGCGCCTCCTCCAAGACAATACTGCAACTGTGTTCAGGTGATTGAGAAGCATACGCAAGGGGTGCACTGCAGATGCACTTGAACAAAACGAAGATCAGATAGACTCTGCGTGACATTATCGGGCAGCCCAAAGTTCGCGCAAGCCCGTACCTACGGCCGTAGATGTTAGTGGCACGCCTTTGATGGCAGACTTTTTCTCCGCGTAAGTCACTGCACCTAATTCCATATTAAGTTGGCTGACATGCTCGGACAGTCGACTAGAGCATGAAAGAGGGAAGACAGTGAAGTCGATACTGGGGAATCCATCCCATAGCAAATCAGCACACAGTGGATCAGCTTGGATCTCCCACTATGCGCTAGGTGTCGTTGCTTGGAATGCTGCCAGCTGATAGGTGAACTCGGTCTCCATGGGCGTACTTGGGAATGACTAGAGGACTGGGAGTCGGGTTTCAATGACTCCTCAACATGGCCTTTATGACACTCATGGATGTGAGATCCGAGTAGGCAGTCTGTTTGGACTTGTCAGCCACTGCGTCCGTCGCCCACCTCCGGCCGTTCTTGGCTTGAGATCGAGGCAAGGTGGGCTAGTGAAGAGAATGCGGTAGATGCTTCGAAATCCTATTTCACCATAAAATGACTCACGCAAGTCGCTGGTACTGCGTTCACTTCGCAAGACGCGCCGGACGCCGTCGCTTGCGACGGTTGAGCTGTCAAGTAACGCGCAAATATATTTCCGACAGCGGTGACGGTGATTCTCGCAGATTTGCCGGGCTAGTTTGCATTTGTGCACATGAACTGTGATCGCATCCTTGAAACCTCACCCATCTTGCCACAACTATAATAGTAAGCTTGCCCACGAGGTAATGACTATCGTGTGTGTTGATTTCTGCTGGAATTGAGTTGGCGGCTGGTGCCTCCCCGTCGGATAAGTGCTGCACCGCTTTTGTTGTCTCCTACGTATATTGTGTACGGTAGAGATCGACACTGATGTCCACTTCAGGGAGTCGGTTGATGGTATCCTTATAGATTGTGGATGGGTGATTCAGGACGCCCTTGAAGTACTTGACCCAGCGCTTCAGAATCTGTGACATTTGTGCATCTTCATTTACAGCACTTACAGTAGAAGTGCTAACTCGTGAAATGTCAACCAAAATTTTGAAACGCGTTCTCGTTTCGAAAAGATAAATTAAGTAGTGTTGTAAAACTAATCATGATGCAGCACAAATCTATAATGATCTAGTTACCTCAGGGTGTCGGCTTTCGAAAGAACTTACTTTCGGCTGCATGCAAGATCTACAATCTGCAAAAATGGCTACTTAAGTAGCATGCAATTTTCTCATTGATTTTCGATGCCCTTGAAAATTCAATCATATTTCATGGAAAACATGCATAAAAATATTCATTCTTTTACTTATTCGGTAGAAAATCACGTCTTCTTCCAATTTCATATTCAAAAGAAGAGTATAATTCGGTTTTAAAAAAGTTTCTAATTGTGAGATTTTTTAATACCGTTAAATGGCCGTTCAGGAAACGTCATGTATCTGTATTTACGAATGTGGCTTGTAAAGTTAACAATATTGTTCAAATCCACTGCTTAATTTTATGAATCTTATATGGTCTCCTCTTAACACCGTAGAGAAATGCATGGTTTTCCGTACACGGAAAATATACAGCTTGTAGTTTTGAAACCCTGAATACAAGTGTAACAGCAGGTCGGGTTCAAAATTATTCAAGAATTAGAAAAGTTCTTTAAAATCGAATTATACTCTTCTTTTGTGTATGACATTGGCAGAAGACGTGATTTTCTACCGAATAAGTAAAAAATGAATATTTTTATGCATGTGTTCCATGAAATATAATTGAATTTTCAAGGGCACCGAAAATCAATGAGAAAATGGCATACTACTTAAGTAACCATTTTTTGCAGAGTGCAGACCGTGCATGCAGCCGAAAGTAAGTTCTTTCGAAAGCCGACACCCTGAGGTAACTGGATCATTATAGATTTATGCTGCATCCTGATTATTTTTAAAAGACTACTTAATTTATCTTTTCGAAACGAGAACGCATTTCGAAATTTTGGTTGGCATTTCATGAGTTAGCACATCTACCGTACATTTTCCCCAATTTGGCGTTCATACGGTTTCCATTAGACGTCAGTCCGTATTCCGTTTTACAGCATTTAATATAGCTGACGCTTCCAGGGTGGCTAAAGTTAAGGCCTCATTCTCGAGATGACCGTTCCGCGCATTACAGTGCGTCTGACACTTACACTGAATATCGACGAAATACTTGTCTGGGCTTCTAGCTAGCACCTGTGCTGTCGAGTGTGTTTTATCACTCAACCTATGTATATATTGCTGGCTGCCTGTTGGCAGTTTGTGAATGTCCTTTTGGATCATTATGACTCTTTTTATCTAAGGAACAGACCTGTTGCAATGCCTTTGGCTGGTTTCCTGTTAATCGAAACACAATGCATCCGTTTTTATTTCCTACCTTTACATTTCTATTGGGTAGTAATGAGAATTTTTTTACCTGCAGACCGGGGAACATCGTATCTGTTTTGTTTGCGGAGACTGACTGAAAACATGTTCCCCTCCTTTTTTTTCAGAGGGAGTATGAAGTGCATCGTCCCGGGCAGGCAGATGCTCTGATTGAGGCCGCTCTAACCAATCTCAGTCGACTTCAGGAGGGCTTAGACGAGGGGGAGGTTCCTGAAAACGAACCCGAGTCCCTTGACGCTATCGGTAGTGGCGGTGATGATGTCTTGGTGTACGATAAGGAGGGAGGAGGGGAAGAAGAAATGACAAAGCGAGACCAGGATGGTGACTCTAAATGCAAGACGGAAGAGGACGAAGGCACCCCTCCGTAGGTGAAAGCGACTGAACACACATAATGTGAGGCGAGTTGTGGCGAACTGTTTGGCACTCAATCTGAAACGACATACAACTCAGACTGCCTGTTTTTGCGTCGACTTTTCTTTTCTCTTTTACCTCCGTTCTGCTCTGCCAACTTGTACATTTTACCCGTCCACCTATTATCTGTACCTATTAAATATAATATGTCTAATGCAACAGCATTATCAACTTCTTTATGCCTTTTATTTGGCAGTTTGTCGTCTGTTGCTTTCTTAATAGGCACTCCAGTACTCTAAGGGGCAAAATTTGTCCTTCAGTCCTTTTAAACAATCAGCTTTTCGCCACCTGTGACCTGACCCCCGTTATGTATTTTGTGAATTTGTGTTCCGATATTTCGGACAGTTTAAATGCAGCCTCTCCGTTTATTTAGGTGGGTTGTTGTTTTGTAACCGACCCCTTGGGTGAAAGTATTTTTTAGTGTCCCTGTTAGGCATTATGTGTAGTTGTTGGTTATAGTGAACAAACGGTGGAGAAGCCTCTTGGTCGCTCTCTAGATGTACATACATTTATGATTTCCGGTCGTTTTGTAGCTCGAATTACCTTCATGCATTTTAGCCTCCCGATTTTCCCTATGGAAGCTGCTCTTCGTTCGGAAGCCATTGCTAAGGAGGCATGCTTGCGCAAGCTGGCGGAAGAAGCTGCCGATGCAATTACCAATTGCGTCAGCGATGCTCTTAGTTGTAAGTATTCAATTCGTCTGCTTCACAACAACGGGGTCATTTTGCAGCTCTCAGTTGAGCGCTCCTTCTTCTAGAACATCTTGCCTGAAACGCTTTCTTCTCGACAGATTAGGGCCGATTCTTATCAATGGGCAAATATCAAAAAGAAAATATAAGAATCGGAGCGGATAGTGGTAGTATGCATTCAAACTGCGACGACTGTTTTTGAGACCAGGGTGCTTGGCCGTCTGACGCACACGCGCTACCATTTACTGATCTTGGATATAAATCCCAGTGAACCGAACTGCTACTTCGTAGATTTCGAGAGCTATTTTTGCTTTTTTTGTCGGTTTTACGTGTCAAGCTTAACGAAATACGATCGAATTGCTTGCTCTTGATGCTGCTGCCGCCAATATAGCTCATGTAATAATAATAATTCATCCGTGACAAATTATGATAAACACTGCTTTTTCAAGGAGCCAATGTCCTTCATGTGAACTAGATTAGGGTGAGCTGTACTGGCGCTGCATTCATCCCACACTCTTCCTGTGCTAGCTGCGTTTACTCGGAGCGAAGAAGTCCAGACGGCTGGGGATGAACCTGGACAAATTGACTGAGGAGACTGGAGCGACATCTTGCTTATTACTCACACACCTCAGCCCCGAATTCATTATGAACCAGCCTCCCAAGGGCAAGTTTCAGATCTGTCGAAGCCGTTTGTCACAAAAACTTCGTTTCTCCAAACAATTTGCAGCTTAGCCCTGGAGGTTGAAGATAACCGAGTCATTTCATCACCCAAGCCACGACTTTCGGTGTGATGTGATGGTTTAGAAGTGCGTTTAGCCGCTTGTGATGAGGAAAAAGAGTGCTTGATCGACCTCACTCCTCCCATGCGCTGGTACCTTGTCCGAGCATCTCGGCTGACTGGTGATGACTTTGGGCGCTGCGAGTGACGTGTTCTGAGTCTCCTTTGGCGCGTGCCGTACCCGCTAGTTCCTCTCTGAAGATCGACAACGAAATCGCAGGCCAGCCGGGCCTTAAGGCAATTTTAGGGCTCAGTTCGGTACCACCGCGGCATCCTACTCAACAGATAACTGAGGATGTACAGGACTGTTATCCTGACAGCGTCCTGTACGGTGCGGTGACATGTACTGTGCATGAAAAGCAGGCTAGAAGACTCGCACATTTTCACTTCATTTACATCTGAAGAATACTAAAGGTGAAGTGACAGAGAAGGATTCCCTACGTCGAGATCCTTGAACTAACCGACATCCTCGGTATTCATGCTATGCTGAGGCAGGTACAAACGCTGTGCAGTGTCTACGTCGTAAGGACGGCTGACAAAGCAGCCGCGCAAGCGAGTATGCTACGTCCACTTCGTTACGTGTGCTCACAAAGAAGATGAACCAAAGCGTCGTTACAATGACAACTTGAGGACATTCCTCAAGCACCTACAGATTAACCCGGAGATCTGAGAGAACCTTGCACCGGATCGACAAGCGTGGCGCATGCGCCTTTTCGGCAGTATGTGCGTATACAGAACGGTGGGATTCGTCACGGCTTCACCACAGCTAACGCAAGCCAGAAGAATCCACGACCGCCAGCACTAACAGCGTTGCCAATACCACCAACTCAGTAGTCGCAATCCCACCTGCTCTTGCTGCCACTATATTGGAATCAGACAACGGCCTTGTCGGCCACTTGCGAGTCCATCGCACGAAGATCGGAGAATCGGTGCCAGCAGTCCCAATACGCATCCGTTGCTTCTGTCTTATCTTCCCGCACTGTCCCAAGACATCGGAGCAATGTGTGGACCTGTTTGCTTGTATGCGCCTACTTAAAAATCATCAACAGAACACCGAAGTCAAACCCCCGTCATCACATTTCGCTCTACCTGCTCACACACCTCCCCAGACCGCACATGAACATATTACACAGCATATGCATGCCATCCGCGTAGCACCACGCCACTCTTCAGTAGCATATGGGACTTGAACGTGAGATTTTAATACAATGCCATATAATGAGTACGGGATTATTAGTTATGGAAAGGCTTCAGAGGCATCAGTAACACTCAAAAACCGCAAATATCTCCCATTGACCTCACCACCTCCATAAAACAAACCAGTTTCCTGTTAAGAATGCAAAAATCGGTATACTTTTCACGAAGACGCGGTAGCTAATTCCACTGCGAGAACGTTTGCACCTGGACGAAACCAGAGACACAGGCACATGAGCATCTGACCCAAACCCAAGACAGCCGTACCATCGGAATTTAATATGCATCAATATTGTCAGTTTCGTGTTGCAAGGATGCCACAACGATTTATAACTGAGCGTTTCTGCTTGTCGGAGGTCTGGATGGATTTGGAGGTTCTGGTTGCAATGTCCTCACCGATTTCGCCGTTCCTTGAGACGCTGCTTCAGTATATTTCGTAAGTGGCACCAGTTGGTGTATGAAAACTGATGTCTGCGTGTTGGCGGGTAGTGCGAAGTCGACCTATCTGCTGGTAACAAAGATCTGACCGTCAACGTATGACCGCACGAGGAATTTCCAGTCTGTCAATTTCGTCTATCTCTGCCAGCGAAAAACCAACCCAACGAATCTGCGACAATCGTCGTGTGGCCTCCTTAGTATTGCCGGCCAAGTCGTTATTCCCATTCTGCTCGGTCGCCTAACTGCATAGCTGGAACAAGGCGTTTGTCCAGATGCCAAATGTGGAATCCAGAAACATCGTGTTCCACTCGACATGATATTCGAGTACGACAGGTGATCAGTTTTCACAGCCCTACTGCATTCGGTAGGTACGCTATATTGGCCTCGACTCGACCGGTCGTCGTTCTCCCTTCGCCAGTTTCGTTTGTTAATTCCCTTGCGAGTTTTTTTATGTGAGCATATTTCTATCAAATTTGTTGTGTCTACATAGAATGCTTATGGGCTTTTATCGTTATGGATTAATTGCGTTATTCATCCAGATTCTGACTGCTTTCAGTCTTCTTCACGTATTTTCGCACATTTAGTGAAATCTGATGGAATTCGTCATGTTACCGAACTTAATCAGTGCGCACAGGTGAAGTATAACAAAATTGTTCAGGATGTTCAGACCCTTACGGACCAACTGGAGAGGACTAACAACCAACGTAAGTTTTCTGGGTAGCGCATAATCTCAGTTTCTCTTTCTCGCTGCCTCTGTCTTCAAGACTCTTCTCTTTTTGTTGTTTTGTTTTGCATCACCGTATTTATGACTAGTTTGTGGTCTACAGCTAGAAATCTGGATTAGTGGCGTAGAGATTGCATGGAAGTGCCCAATCACGACAACCAGTTTCCGGAAGTTTTTATTGTGCGGGAAATGCAGATGGTCTGGTCGACATTTGTGATGTTTCTTGTCATAGTGTCGTTGATGGTGTTCTTAGTTGAGTGTGGAGATACCTCAATCAGCCAGTGCATGCTGTGAAAATGCGTTGACGGTGAGAACGCCTAAGATTTATTTGAATGTCAGTATTCTGGTTGTGCGTTCTTGTCGCTTGGCTCTACCCTCCCGGTTTGTCTCGAAAAGTGCAACGTCATGTTTGATTGCAGTCCGCTATGACTGTTGGTCGTGTGTAAGTGTCCTCCGGCGCTCGTGGTAGGTTTAGGGACGTTTAAGTCACACTTTCAGATTGCCCTGTAACTTTTTTCAACCCTCTTTTTCACTTGGGAGCTACATGAACGTCATCGTGGAACGGCCTCTACGGTCCACGTGACCTGACACTCGTTAGAACCTTTCCTCGAAGTGGAATCCCTTTCAGCATTGCATAAAAGTTTACGTTCTTTGAGGTCGAACTTTGCAGGCAAAATAACTGGCTCACAGCGACTAGATGCTGGTGATTTCCAGTTATCGTATGTTTACTGTCCTCCACAGTTGCAGCCGCTTGGTGCACGACTTTTTTGCTGCGTTGATGGCGCGTTCGAAGTTCATGAGGTTCAGGCTCCGCAGAATGTCTGCTTCAGTTGTGTTCAGCGTTCAGTTGATTCTGTCTTTGTAAGGATAATGTGCTCGTGCACGTCCTGCTTCTCTTGATTTACGCATCGGAAGGACTCAATTTACAAGTGGGCCACATTTGACTTTCAGCTAAGACTACTCTCCTCTCATTGAAAAACACACAGATGCATAGACTTAGTTTAGGACAACTATCTTCACAGGAAATTGACCGAATATAAAGTAGGATTGATATTCGACCAATTTTGTAAACATTTTGCCCGGTCAAATTACGTGGAAACGAAGAGTATTTTCTGGAACGTGTCAAGCTAATGAGTAAAACACACGCTTCGGGAGTATAAAATGATCATCCCAATTCCTGCCATCACGTTCCATGGGTCAGGTCACATACTGTATCCCATTCGAACTGCAGACCCCCCTCATTTTATAACTGACTGTTCTGCTGCAGTGGAACACCTGAGTTATTAATACGGATGACTCACGATTGTGTGGTTTTGTAGGTCGCAGCTGAAATTGAAATTCAGACAATTTATTTATACAAGCGCTTCATTTAAATCAAACGCGATTATCAGCGGAGGCATATTGTATTCCATTGAAACTTGATTTTGCCTCAATTTTTACATTTCTTTACGACGCTAACCAACATTCGTACATGCGGTGAGGTAGTAATGGTAACCTAGCCTGCCACCGGCGATCAGGATCACTACGGCCTCACGTCTTCTTGTTCAGTGCTGACGCGTGTGCAACTTTGTTCACAATGAAGCAGACTTGCTTTTTATCTACCTCACGTTACTCTGCCTGCACCTACCGTGTTCTGATATCAAGGCGAGGTCAATACGACCTGAGGTTGGCATGGGCCAGTGGCTGACAAGGCCAAACAGCCCGCCTACGCTTACCAAAAACGACCTGCTCCCTAAAAGCACATGCCTCAGGCTTCAGTACTATGGAATCGCCCTTCACGTATGTGAAATTGCCATAAAGGTGACATAGGGAAGAGTCTATTGCAGTCCCACCTCCAGCTCTGAGTTATCAGTTCAGTCGGCAAAACTTCAGAGCTACGACTTTGGCCCGTTGTGGTGGTGTAAAGATTCGTTTGGTTGCCAATTTTGAGGAAGTGGGCACCGAATCTGATCGGAATACACTGAGTCCGAAAACAGGGCCAGACAGCACCGTCACTCCAATTTTTCTTTAAACATCGCGTTTTAAAATCTTTCTTCGGGTCAGTTTTAACTCACTCCACCTATTACCTTTTTTTCTTTCTAACGAATAGACGACCGATTCGCTGGAAATTTGACCTCTGTAGACGCCTTTTGCCGGTTGTTTCCCATTCTGGAAAGAAACGTTGCTGATCTAGATGCCATGGTTACCACGCTAGGTAGGTGCTTAATGCGTTTGCCACTACCTGAAACATATAGAGGCCACTGTGGATGAACTCTGTGCCCGCCAAAGAACAACTTGACAACGTCAATAGAACATTTGAAGGCGTTGTAGCATTATTATTATTATTATTATTATTATTATTATTATTATTATTATCATTATTATTATTATTATTCCTCCTCCTCCTCCTCCTCCTCCTCCTCCTCCTCCTCCTCCTCCTCCTCATCATCATCATCATCATCATCATCATCATCATCGCTCCTCTCTTTTCTGTCGATCAAAATTCTCAGTGGAGCTTGCAGTTTCCGCTAGCTCTTGTTGCTTTGCCCTCCTCGTATATAAATGTTTTTACTTTTGAATTTTATGGATATGAAATTATTATCGTATGTTTCTCATTATGTATTTTCGAGTTCTTCATTCCTACCGATGTTGTTATTCGGCTGCCCTCCGTACTGTCAAGCCTTGGATTATATGTTTCCCATAAGTCACTGCATTTTTAAGGGACATTCCTCGTTTAATTTTGCCGTCTCAAATAAAGAAAATGTCGCGTTTATAACTGGAGATTTTACTGCCGTTAGCTTCGTGATAAAAATTTGACTGATGAACATCCAAAGCCGGCAAAAAATGGACCTTCGTGAGTTACGCAAAATCCGCGGAAATCCGCTGGTTTTTTGACCCGTTACTGTCGACCCTTCGGAGCGAACCTAAAAAGCTTTATTCGAAGGATTCGCGCACAAGTTTCTGAACAACTTAAAAAGGACACTATGGGAACCGGAGTTCATACCTGTGTTTTCAGCATAGTAAACCATTCAGTACGTTGAGTTTCTCATCATTACAATACACCAACTTAACAGAGATCGATAGTAAAGTCAGCGAGCAGATAAAATTTATATTTAGATGTCAAACGACCTGCAGCAAGTCCTGGGGAGGCGCGTGATATGACATCCAACGTATTTAATTGCGCAAAACAACAAGGGAGGATAAAGTAAGAGACAAGACAGTTAAAAGTAAGAACTAGTCTGGCAAAGACAACAAAGCAATATTCAGCCTACCTGTGTGGCGCTTGCCTTGAAGTCTCCTGCGTAGCAGTAAGCGGATCCTCCTCTCGGAGATGACGAGTTGATGGTCGGTCCACCCGTCGGCACCCGGATACGCCCTCGTCATCGCCTTCTTCACCAGCACGTCCCGCTGGTCTCGCTTCCGGACGAGGATATAGTCCAGCAGGTGCCAATGTCACGACCGAGGGTGCATCCAGGTCGTCTTCGCCGCATCGGAAGGGGGCGTTGGTCAGGATGAGACGGTGTTCTGCGCAGCTTATTAGTAGGAGCAGGCCATTGTCACTGAAGCCGTTGAGACCATAGAGACTGAGAATTCCTCTTCAGGCAGCATTGTCTGTGCCGACGTGAGCGTTAAAGTCACCAAAGGCAGTCAACTTATCCGGCTTCGGCACAGTCGCCAGGAGGACGTGCGGGTTCTCGTAGAATTTGTGCGTCGGGGTTGGTTGAGGGAGTGGAGGCGTAGACGCTGACGATGGTGGTTAGTTTGCCTCCCCAGAGAGGCGGGCGGAGGCTCATCAGGCGATTGTTGATACCCTGCGGCAGACGGCAGTCGTCCCACGATTTCATTCCGGATGACATAGGCTACGCCCGCGTCTCGTCGCTCTGCTTTTGGGGCACCTAGAAGGCTGCCAATGGACGGGATAACTTGGTCTTCTTCTCAGGACGGAGAGTAAGGCTGCAATGGCTCCTTCTTTATGTGGCCGTTATGACACTCCCATTCAGTTGGGATCTGAGTCGTCATTTTTTGGTGAAATCGTAGTCTATCGTGCGCGGGCCGCGTGGATGTGCAGCCCGGTCATTCACGGCCTCCGATCCCGCCTCTTTTGACCTCTGTTTTGAGACTGGGCGCAGGTAGGCGAGGGAGGAGAGAGTACGAGAGATTCAGAGCAAGCCCACTATCACTATAATACTTTATGCGCACTTCACAGCACTGAGCCCGTCATTTTGCGGGGCACACTTGGACATCGCCTTTCTCGATAGTCGAACTGGCACTCGAATGTCGAAAACACAACGAACACGATGTGACAGTCAAAATCGGGGTCGGCGTGGTCTTCAGCATAACGAGCAGGCAAATCTAAGAGGGGAAATCTTTGTACCGCTGGGTAAACAAATCAGTACGCAGACACACCTACCATTTGTTGCTCTTCAATTTCCCCAGAAATTAACTGCGAACTTGGAGTAGGTCAGTATATTCCAAGGTTTATAGGCGCAGACCGAAATTTGATGTGTGAATTTTTGGGCTGCAGTCCATCAGCCACAGCGGGATGACTGTGTAATATTCATTAACTGCCGACAGGCAGCTAGTAGTATATTTTGGGGTTAAAGGATACTATTCTAGCAGCACAGGTACTCGCTGAAACCCAGAATATACTGGCCTACTCCAACTTCGCGGTTCATCTCTGTGGAAATAAAAAGGCAACAAATAATAAACTGGAAACAATTGGAAATGCTGGGACACCCACTGAAGGGCCGAACCCCTCGCAGCTGTGACATGCAGCGGCAGAATATCGACAAAACACGCGCGTCCGGGCCTTTAGCAAGTACCTGTGCCGCTAGAATGGTATCCTATAACCCTAATACCATTTGAAAGTCGGACGATCTTCACGTTGATCAGTTGACATGGTTGCGAGAACCTCAGAGGGGTTGGCTTAAGCAAAAGTAGGTAGAGGAAGTGGGAAGCAGAAACTAATGACAAATAGTTATTCAGGAACCTGGACACAGACCCACCTTAATGCATCAACTCATCTGCTTAACTGGACATGCTGGATACCAGTTAGCTTCCTTGAACGGGTCGACAATACTCACATCTGATTTCGAGCACAAGTTTGCTGAGTTATCCAGGCAGAAAACAATGGGATCCATTTTTGGCAGATCATATGTTTATAAGCGGATTCAGGATTTCTTCGACATGCTTAATTTATGGTGTTTAGTCGTAAATCGAAAAGACAGTCTCTAACAAAATTGATCATCGAATTCACATTCCTCGTTATAGCATTTGAGTAAATCGGATTTCGAAACAGTCACGTCGAACCGTTAGGGCCTAGACGGATCTGCATTCAAAAGAGGAAAATTTCCTACCCCAGCTTGACAGATATAGTGTGGCTGAACTCGTGGACACATGCTTTGTCATCAGTCTGCATATTTTATGGAGTTTTGCTGTATTGTTTTTCAAGCGCAGTTGTAAAGGTGAAGTAGGAACCGCGGTGCACAGTAATCCCTTGTTATATCGCGCTTCGGCTTCCTAGGCTTCAATATATCGCAGATTCTAGATACAAGCATATGTGAATGTATATCGCGGATTTTTCGTTGATTCCTGGATTCCTGCAGACAATTTTCCTGCCTATTTTTGGTTCATAGTTCCTCTGTTGATTTCGTACAGATGACGCTCCATCTCATGGAATATAAAGAGTTTATGCTGTATAACTGTGTGAGAAATCCTTATAGGAATGTGAAAGGGTTTATAAGGGTTTACAATTTCATAGATATTTTGGCAGATTTTGAATAATTCATATTGGCCCAACTGTGAAAAACTCGGCGCCTCGATGGGATTCAAACCCACGCAGTAAGGAGAAGGCTTTAGTACAGCCAACGCTCTAACCACTTGAGCTACGAGGCTCCGCCGAGCGACTTGGTTTACAAGTTGTCCCACAAGTGGACACTTTGAAACGAAACTAAACGAACTCACCTCCGTTTTGTGCTAAACCAAGCATTCGTCAGCATCTAAATTGTTTACGCTAATAGCGATGCTCAGCCGCTGGAGGTTTCCGTTATGGGGACTAATTTTGCGACAAAACAGAGCCTTTCGAAACCTCTTAGCAGAGTAATGCAAGCCAAGCACAGGTGCTTTGAAATTAGATTCACTCCGAAAATAGGGTTGCCTTCTGGCCTGTCCACCGGTTCCAGCTCCTATGGCGAAGCTGGTACGCACAAAGTTCTTTTGTTATCGACATACATACTGACTGACGACGGCTAATAAGCCAGAAATGGCCATTCCAGTCTCCCTTGTCTTTGCCGGTAATGACATACTGCCTATATCATGCGCCGCTGTGTGGCTGCTGGTTGGACTCGAGAGAGAGCCCGTAAGGCACAATGGAACGAGTGAGTTCCGTAAGAACGGTCGGTGAGCGCCCCCTACCATCTTTTGTTATCGCTTTGATGCGAGATAAGAAAACTTCTTTGAGACTGACAGGAAAAAACAGACTGAAAAGCAAATATCAAGGGGGCCGTGTAGCTGAAGTAGGTAGAGGAAATGGGATGCAGAGACTAACAACAAGTAGCTATTCAGGTACCTAGACACAGACCCACTTTATGCAAGCCGTCGAATGGACCCCTATTCAGATTTTCGTCGCCTCTGTTTGTCTTTTAGGGACTGTCGCATGTACTTCTCGTTGTTTGAGATTTTTGCCTGCACTCACGGGTCAGTGCTTCTGTTAACCGATTTTACTTCAAAGCCTACCTCCGATCCTGATAAGTTTCAGCGTATTCTTTTGAAATGGAATCAGTGTTTTCGACCGACATCTCACTTTACACAAACGAGAGTCTGGATAGTAAAGATGACTTATATGACCTTCCAATTTAAAAGACAAGGCCACCTTTAATACTTGAATGGTGGCAATAGGGGATTCTCGGGGTAGGCTCCTAGGATTCACTGGAAATTCATATGAAAACCTAAAAAACATAAAACCGTTATGTGCGCCAAGACTTGCTTTAAAGAACGAACGGTGTAAAGAGATGGACACGCGGAAATATTAATAAAGACAACATTATAGCGTCAAAGGATGTAGAGTGTGAGCAACATTCACTGGATAATGACATCTAAGAGACAGAAGTCGACCAACAGCAACCAATCAGAACGCGAATTGATAGAATGGAAGCGCTACTGAGGGCAATAGGAACATTTGGCAGGCGGTGGAAACCTTGCCGTAGCCGTAGAAAATCACGAAAAAGGTAAAGTAAGCTGTTAAAAGGGACGCAAAAAAGTTTGCCGATGGTATTAACTTAGCAATGTTAACGTCAATGGGTTCTGCAACAAAAGCTAAGATCATGATTAATAGCTAATGCAATTTTTATAATTTTTAAATTGTGTGGCATAGTTACCGTGTTTTTCAGGGGTTAATATTATTTGATTATTTTCCGAAAATCGCGCCCAGCCGGCAAACCACGGAGAATGCGAAGGAATGCGCTGCCTGCGCAATATCACTATATCAAGTGAATAATTAACTCACTTGCTTAATCGACCACTGCAAAAGACGAATCTGTTGCCGAAAAAGTTGGCGTATGCTTGAGGAGGTAGAATAAGGCAGGTTTTACGCCAACACACAGATGACTACGTGTTCATATGCAAAGTATGCAAACGCAAGAAGGCACTGTCTGAAACTTTCATATTTCAGAATAGCAGGCTATGCCTAGGGAAAATAACGAACATTTCCCCAGCATTGATATCGAAAAGGCTGGCAAGACAATGCGCATCTGTAATAGGTCTAACTGAGGGAGCAGCCATAGAATGGTATGCCACAATGTCCGCTGGAATGCTCTACTGAAAGAGACATAACGGCTGTGTGGGCCTGGAATCCACGTACAAATATACGAAACCGCCGTATGCAAGTGAAAGTGTAATTTTGTACAACACATCCCGAAATAGGGCCTTCTTTGAAAAAGTGAACGATAGGACATGGGATACAGTGGGAGCAGTGATACAGAGGTAGGTTGCACCGGATAGCGTAATCATAACCGACGAATGGAAGGCATGCACCCGCCTGCCACCAGGTTGTGCGCACCATACGGAAGCCACTCGGCGAATTTCTTAGACAGAATTACTGACAGACTTACCAATGTCACTGAAGGGCATTGCAATATATTGAAACGTAGTATACTTCAAAGCTCTCCTATCTCCGGAAGCGCTGTATGGGTGCACATAGTCGAAGTGCAATACCGGCTATTGTTCGGCATTAAACTGTAATCACTTCCGCAGTTCTGGGATACATTCACAGGTCATATATCAACAGTATACCCTTTTGGAGTGAAAACTGTGGGTAAAACAGCAAGTGAAACGGCTACTATGGACGTCCCACTAACATATGTATACCAGTAGCCGACAATGAATCCAACTTGTAGACGGTAAGTGCTACGCCGATGTCGCCACAGCAAGCACCAGAAGCGGCCTTGGTACTGTAGCAAGCAGTCTTAGTCGTAGTTGGTTAAATGAAGTTAGTAAAAGCAGTCTGCGGAAGCAACGGTGGTGGGACAGACTTGTGTGGCCCCCCTAAACAGAAATCCCTTGCAATACGGGTGGTTTTGCGCCAAATTCCAGGGAAATTAGGTTTGGGTTCAATGTTAGGGTTTGAGTTAGGTTAAGGTCCAGGTTTAAGGTCAGGCTTAAAGTTAACGGTAAAGTCATGATCAAGTCTGGGGTTTAAGTAGGGAGTAGTGTTAACTGCAGAATTGAGATTTGGGGTAGGGTTAGAATCTGGATTAGGGTAATGGTTTAGTCTTATATTAGGATTATTGTTGAGGTTAAGGCACGGATATATATATATATATATATATATATATATATATAGCAGAGGGAGGACGACAGAGTCCGGGGGTAGATTGATACAGCACTGTTTCGGGCTTGTTTGCCTTCATTCAGCCAATCATAACCCTGACCACCAGCAGCTGGTACCGGAAACAAACATGCGCTCATACGCGCCTGGCGCAGCTGGTCCACCACTGGGGTCTACCAGATGGGTCATAAGCACTTCATCGAACCGAAGTTCATCAGTGCCTCGCCACCTGCCATTCTCTGTCGCTGCAGATCGGGTATTTATTCACTCGGAAATGGGCGCACACCGATCCATTGGCTTCCCGAAGCAAACAAGCTTCGTATGGGCGATAGGGGTCACGAACAGGCAACCACCTACCAGGCCGAAGTTGGCCAAGCTATGATAGCAGAGGGGAGACGACAGAGTCCGGAGGTAGATTGATACAGCACTGTTTCGGGTTTGTTTGCTTCGAGAAGCCAATGGATCGGTGTGCGCCCATTTCCGAGTGAATAAATACCCGATCTGCAGCGACAGAGAATGGCAGGTGGCGAGGCACTGATGAACTTCGGTTCGATGAAGTGCTTATGACCCATCTGGTAGACCCCAGTGGTGGACCAGCTGCGCCAGGCGCGTATGAGCGCATGTTTGTTTCCGGTACCAGCTGCTGGTGGTCAGGGTTATGATTGGCTGAATGAAGGCAAACAAGCCCGAAACAGTGCTGTATCATATATGGAATGATATGGAATTCATACTACTCGTAGAACTACTTGTTTGTAGAATGGGCATTACGTGGTTATTCCACAGTAGTTGATTGTCTTCGACTCAAATGTTCATTGAAATTTCGGTTCTGACCCTTAAAAGTCATGTCCCGGAGATTTAACTCCAAGTCCTGCACTGATTAATTTCTGAAATTATTCACCTGAATATTCTCTGGAGTTCATATACCAGAAACAGCTAGAGAACGCTGGGGGTCCCACTGAAGAGCCGAACCCCTCGCAGCTGTGTCCCGCAGCGGCAGAATATCGGCGAAAAACGTGTCTGGGCTTTTAGCAAGTATCCGGGTCGGGAGTACGGTATAATACATTTAATATACATATATATAGGCAGAATAGCATTACCGACAAAGACAAGGGAGACTGGAATGGCCATTTGTGGCTTATTAGCCGTCGTCAGCCGACCATACCCAAGCCCGAAGTGTGGAACACCCAAGCCTCGAACTCGCGACCTGTTAGTTAGAAGTCCACCGTCTCTAACTACTAAGCCACGGGCTCGTTGTCCTGCCAGTTACCATCGGGAATATACAATAGTTGAGGGGGGGCAAAAAGGGCCAATCCAATCTCCCTTGTCTTTGTCGATGGTACCATTCTGCCTTTATCATGCGCCGCTGTGCGGCTGCTGGTTGGTCCCGAGAGAGAGCAAGTAAGGCATCATAGGACGAGTGAGTTCCGTAGAAAAGATCAATGAGCGTCCCCAACCATTGGATATTCCCGATGGTAACCGGCAGGAGGACGAGCCCCTGGCTTAGTGGTTAGATACGTTGGACATCTAACTAACAGGTCGCGAGTTCGAGTCCCTGGTGTTCCACATTTCGGGGTTGGGTATGACTGGCTGAAGACGTCTAATAAGCTAAAAATGGCCATTCCAGTCTCCCATGTCTTTGTCGGCAATACCACTAACTCCGACACTGATGAACTTTGGTTCCATGAAGTGCTTATGGTACATCTGGCATGCCCCAGTTGTGTACCAACTTTTCCAGGTGTGTCTGCGCGTATGTGTATGTTTTTGCTCCCAGCTGCTGGTCAGGCTAATGATTGGCCGAATGAAGACAAAATAAGCCCGAAACAGTACTTTATCAATCTACCCACATTCCCTGTCCTTCCTAGTCGCTTATATTACGACTTGGCCGACTTCGGCCTGGTAATTGGGCGCCCGTTCGTGACCTGTGCCATCAATACGGAACTTTTGTGCTTCGTGAAGCCAATAGATCGACGTACGCCCATACCTGATTGAATATATAAATATATACAGGGCAACGGGCTCGTGGCCCGGTGGGTAGAGGCGGGGACTTTTAAACCGACAGGTCGCGAGTTCGAGGCTCGGGTGTTCAACACTTCGGGCTTGGGTATGGCTGGCTGACGACGGCTAATAAGCCAGAAATGGCCATTCCAGTCTCCCTTGTCTTTGTCGGTAATACCA